CCAGGGTTGGCCTCATACCAGGCAAGCGCCTGAACTCCTGTACCATCTCTCTGGTCTCCTCTAGTTTGGTTCTTTGGGGGGGGGGGAGTTGGGGGAGCCCATTTGATAGTGCTCAGGAATCACTCCTGGTGGACCTCGGGAGACTACATGGGATGCTGGGGATCAAACCGGGGCCCAGTCACGCATGCCAGGCTCATGCCCTCCCCACTGTGTTAACGCTCCAGCCCCACCCCTAGTTTGACTCTAAGCGTCCCATCCCCACCCCCCTCATCAACATCCCTGCTTAGATTAAAATAAAAATCTAAAAGCACTAATACATGTAGAGTGGGGACTGATACTTCCAGAAAGTAGGAAGGTGGTCAAACCAGAGACTATCAGGAGTGGACAGAAAGGACAGCTCAGAGACAGGAATGAAGGCAACTGAGTGTCCACGCAAATCCAGCATCCTCTGCACAACTCCTGCTGAGGTTGTGCAGACCCTCAGTGGACATCCAAGCGGCCAGGTCCAGTTACTCCTGCTCTGCATTCTGGACCCCAGCCCCTCCCCCTTCGCCCCCATCTCCAGGGCAACCAGGCCTCTGCCCCCTCCCCCCAAGTAGAATCCAGTTTCTGTTTGAATCTCTGCTGTGTCTAACCAGTTCCTGCGGGGATGAGCGGAGGGCAAGTGGGATCAGAAAGGGGGTGACACTGGGGGGGGGGAGCCATGAGACAAGAGAGATGGGAAGAGAGGGCCCAGAGGAGGCTAGGGGAGGGAGGGGGTGGGAGGTAGAGAGACAGGAAGTGGGGGAGTGGGTCCCAGAGAGGCAGACAATGTTGAAGGGAAAGAGGGTGGGGGCCCAGGGGAGATATCAGGGTCACTGAGGGAGCAGGAGCCAGGGGAGATGGAACATGAGTGGGGCAGGGAAGAGAAGAGGAAGAGGAAAGAGAAAGTGAGAGAAAAAGTGGAGGGAAAATGGGGGGAGAAACGGGAAGTCAGGGGGCAGAGAAAGCAAGAGAAGGAGCCAGGGAGGGGCGCAGAGAGATGGGGAAAGGAGGAGGAAGCCAGGGGTGCAGAGAAGGGCGGGGAGAGAGAGGGGAGGAGACCGGGACCATTGCAGGAAGAGACGGACCCGTGGCAACCTTGGAAGTGGGGTCCGCAGGGCCTCCCTGAGGTCCAGGGCACGCGGATGTGGGCTCAGTCTTCCAGCTCTGATCTGTTTGCCCCGCGGGGACTGAGAGAGACCGAGGCGGCCCAGGGGAGCCGGGACTGGGATGAGGTGTGGCCGCACCAGCGCTCTACATCCCCCACCCGCCTTCCCAGGATGCAGCCAGAGACGGAGCCCCTGAGCTCCTCCGCTGGGAGCTTGTCCAGGGAGGCAGGTATGCAGCCTGGGCTTCACTCGCCATCGAAATCCTAGCTTTGTTGTACCCTCGTGGCTGTGGCCTCGAGCAGCCTTCCAAAGAGAGAGCCGAGCTCGGCTGTTGGGGTGACCAGATGCCCGGATGGTGCCCTGTGGGCATCGAACTACATATCCCACTCCCCTCTGCGGCGCTGCAGCCAATACTCTGCGTCCAGAACTACATTTCCCATGAACCTCTGGGGCCATGGCTGTTTCTCGGGGCTCATTAGCTCTTGGAGGGCGTTTGTCTCCCCGATGAAGTTGACTGTACTCCTTTGAACCCACTCTTTCCCCTGTTTCCCATCTTCAAAATGGTCCTAAATGTCACTGGGGTGCCCACCGCTCCCTCCCGCACTCAGCTACTGCAGCCTCCCGCTGCGCCCCAGACTCTGCACCCCTACAGCCCAACTCAGGGCCCACTTTCTAATCCCAGAAATTATTTTTTGGCTTTTTGGGCCATACTTGACGGGAATTACCTCCGACTCTGCACTCAGGAATTAACTCCTGGAGGCACTCGGGGGACCATATGAGATGCCTGGGGATTGAACCTGGGTTGGCCACGTGCAAGGCAAATGCCCTCCCCATTATACCATCTCTCGGCCCCTAATCCCCCAAGATTCTTTCTCCACCCAATTCTCTGATCTCCCGTTTCTGCATCCAACCTCTATCCCCCACATGATTTCATTTCTCTTTTTTTTTTTTTTCTTTTTGGGTCACATCTGGCGATGCACAGGGGTTACTCCTGGCTCTGCATTCAGGAATCACCCCTGGCGGGAACCATATGGGATGCTGGGAATCGAACCCGGGTTGTCCGGGTACAAGGCAAACGCCCTACCCGCTGTGCTATTGCTCCAGCCCCACTCACATGGTTCCAGAGCATCTTTGTAAGAGCCAGTGCTGACCCTGCCTCAGCAGGGCTCATACTCCCCTCCCCCTCACCTTCAGGATGGAACCCTGCCCTCCACCTGGGGTTCAGTGCCTTCTGTAATGTGAGACCAACTCAGACTCTTGTTCCAGGGCATCCTACCTGCACCCCAACTTTAGCATAGTGTGGTCACGTGCTCACTCACTGAACATGGACCCAGCAAGGATGCATCTGGTTAGCAGGAAAGTAGAAATTTGGAATTCTGTATGGAACAGGAAAAAACAAGAGCCAGAATGATACAACAGTGGCAAGGGGACTTGCTGTGCACACCACTGACCTGGATTCAGTCCCTGGCACTACATAGGGTCCACTTAGTCCTTCTAGGAGTGGTTCCTGAGCACTGAGCCAGGAGTAAGCCTTGAAGACCACCACGTGTGACACAAAAATAAAAAAAAATAATAAAAGAAACTGTTGTGCTAGAGAGCACACAAGGGTTAAGATATTTGCTTGCGGGGCTGGAGTAACCCCTATGCAATGCCAGGTGTGACCCACTGTAGCACTGTAGAACTGTCCTCCCGTTGTTCATCGATTTGTTCAAGCGGGCCCAGTAACGTCTCCATCGTGAGACTTGTTATTACTGTGTTTGGCATATTGAATACGTCACAGGTAGCTTGCCAGGCTTTGCCGTGCAGGTGAGATATTCTTGACCCAAAAGAAAAAAAAGATAATTGCTTGCATGTGGCAAACCCCTGTCCGATCCCCCACACCCCACCAGGATCCTTTAACCACTGCCAGGAATGATCCCTGAGCACAGAGCCATCAGTAAGCCCTGAGCACCGCCAGTGTGCAAAAAATAAATAAATAAATAAATAAATAAATAAAAGGAACCATAAACATTGTTGAGTGAACATGTTTGAGAAGGTGTTGGGAGAAGGTGTCAGGATGCCTGCCTGGAGGACAATGCCTGGGGAGGGCCAGAGGACATTGGGGAGGGCATTTGCCTTGCAAATAGCTGACCTGGGTTTGATCTGCGGCATACCAATGTGGTCCCTGGGTCCTGCTAGCAGTGGTTCCTGAGTGCAGAGTCAGGAGTAACCTCTGAGCATCACTGGGTATGGCAAAATCAAACGAACAAACAAACAAGCAGTGTGGTGATGGGAGCCAAGAGGAGCCAGGAGGTGCACCGAGCCCTGAAATGTTGTGTTCCCAGTGGCTCCTACGATCACATCCTGAAACCTGGCTCCCCACTCCAGGCAGGGGAAGGGCTGGTCTCCCTTCCCCACCGCGTTGCGGAACAGTGAGGTGGCAGGTGGGGAACAGGTCTGGGGAGAGATATCGAGACAGTACAAACGAGCAGTGCCAGGGCCCCATTGTTGCCAAAGGCAGCCAGGAGCACAGCTGTGACATAGGAGTAACAGAGCCACATGCTGGAGACAGCCCATGTGGGGCACAGAGCTTCCTGCCGAATGATTCTGCAAGCCGAGGGCAAGCTGGGGAGTGTGGCATTGGCTCTGCTGGAAGTCTGGCACTGGGAAAGTTGGCTAATGCTTCAGCATGTGTGCATGTATGTGTGCATGTGTGTGTGTGTGTGTGAGAGAGGGGGGGGGGACAGAGACAGAGATAGATAGAACCTGCATAGAACTGTATAATCACATTATTAATATGGAAAGGGGGGCAGACTAGACCAGGGAATGCATCTCAGTTTTTCATTTATGCAATAATTCTTTTTTCCCTTTCTCTTCCTTCCTTCCTTCCTTCCTTCCTTCCTTCCTTCCTTTTCTTCCTCTTTTTCTTCCTTCCTCTCTCCCTTTTTCCTTTCTTTTTTTCTCTCTTCCTTTCTTCTTCCCTCCTTTCCTCTCTCTCTTTCTCTCTTCCTTCCTTCCTCTCTATTTTTTGGGCCATATTTGGCACTGCACTCAGGTATTACCTCTGGTGGGGCTCAGGGAACTCTATGGGACACCAGGATCAAACCCTAGTCAGCTGCATGGACTTTTTATTATTTTAAAATTTGGGCCACACCCAGCAATGCTCAAGGGTTACTTCTAGCTCTGCACTCAGGAATTACTCCTGGAGGTGCTTGGGGGACCATATGGGGATCAAACCCAGGTTGGCCGCATGCAAGGCTGTACACGCTGTACTCTTGCTCTGACTGACCCCAAGAAGCCAGTTCTGAGTGTTCCAACAGCTACAGACAGGATTCAAAGTTGGCACTTTCCTTGTTTGTGGCCAACCTGTGTTTGATCCCCAACATCCCACAATCCCACATGCTCCCTCCTGAGCACTGTCAGGAGTGATTCTTGAGCGCAGAGCCAGGAATAACCCCTGAGCATCAGCGGTGTGAATCGCCCCCACCCTGCGCAAAACAAAAAGAAAAAAAAATGTTGGAGCAACTCAGGAGGCTGGGTTGACCAAACAGGTAATGAAGGGACAGCACTGTAGCACTGTAGCACTGTCCTCCCATTGTTCATCAGTTTGCTCGAGCGGGCCCAGTAATGTCTCCATTGTGAGACTTGTGGTTACTGTGTTTGGCATATCAAATACATGAAGGGACAGATTCCAGCCAATTTCCATGACCCCAGATCTCCCTCTAGCGCCCCCTTCAGACAGACTCAGGCTTTTCGCTGGCTCAGAGGAAGTGGCTGAGGCAGGTTAATTCAAGGGAAATCTCACTTAATAAGCCTTTATGCTCTGGAGAGGCCAAGGGCAGCCCGTGGGCGATGCCCTCCGAGGCTGAATTATGTTCTGGGGCCATTGAGATTGGCTTCTCCTTCCCCAGGAGCCCTCCTTGCAGACCTGGAGATTCCGGAGGATTTACAGATTTCCAGCCTGGGCAGGCCCAACAAATCCTCGTGAGTGGCCCTGACCCCACTACTTCTCCCTCCGCTCTCCTGAGGATCCCAACAGCAACTCCAGACCTTTGTGATCCCTGCCTGCCCCCCTCGCTGTCTCCCCAGGAAGCAGCAGCTGCGTCAGGTCATTGCTGAATATGAGATGCTTGACCGTGAGCTTCCGTGCATCCGGAAATTCCCCACGCAGCCTTCGGCCCAGCCACTCTGTCTGTGCATGGAGACCGCGGTGAGTGCCACTGCTTGGGATTTCTGTGCAGAGGTGGGGGGCACTGGCAAGGGAGGTCACAGGGCAAGAGGTGGACACAGGTTGAAATCCAGGCTCCATGGTGGACCACTTATGGGTGCAGTGCCCTGAGGACATGGCTGAGATTTGATTGTGAATTTGTCAGATTCTATTCTCAGGCTGAGCCCTGCAAAGAGTGGGGGGGGGGGTGCAGAGGGAGCGCAGCCTGCTAAGACATGAGTCTGTATTTGGTAAATTTCACTATCAATAAAGTAACATGTTTAGGGGCTGGAGAGATAGCACAGCCAGTAGGGCGTTTGCCCTGCACGCGGCCGACCCAGGTTTGATTCCCAGCATCCCATATGGTTCCCTGAGCACTGCCAGGAGTAACTCCTGAGTGCAAAGCCAGGATTAACCCCTGTGCATCGCCAGGTGTGACCCAAAAAGCAAAAAATAATAATAAAATAAAATAAATAAATAAAGTAACATGTTTAGAGTCAAAGTTCCTGAGAAAAAGTTCTTGCTATGGAGAGATTCAGCAGTTTAGTTCTTCAGTGAACCCATCTGTTGGCAATGCCAGCCCTTGGCCAGAGGAGTGTCTCGAGTGCCAGTTCTCGCTCACTGCCCCTTAGCGACTCTGAGCAGGGGTGACTGTTTTGGAGGTGATTAAGTGCTTTCATCTGAGTTCCACCATAGTTTTCTATGTGCTAACAGACTGCAGGGCATCATCCACACGGCAATCTCATGCTTGGAATGTGATCAATGATATATGTTTCTGAGTGCTAACTTGATTGACAGGCAAGGTCACAAACTCCAGGACTCCTAATAAAAACAAAACCAAAATGGAACATCTCTTTCTATCTGAACGGGACTATGGGGAAAAAAAAACTTAAATCCTTTCAAAAAACTTTCAAGACAAAGAAAGGGCCTGTAGTTCCCTAAGAAATGTGGTAGATTGGTGAGGCTGACAAACTAGAAATCATTTATTGACTTTGGCAAATCAGAGTGGTGAGGACAAACTTCCTAACATCCTGTTACTCTTATTCCACCTGGATCTCTGCAACTTCTGTAGGTGGGGGGGTGGGGGGGTAGGCCGAGGGTCCTCTGAATCAGCTGAGGCTGTCTGTCCGACTCCCCTAGCCCGAGGAGGACCTTACCCATCTGGAGGTGTTGGAGGCGCTGGAAGCCGTGTTACCCGGGGCCATGGAGAGCGGGCACGTGGCCAGCATCCGCTTTGAAAATATGAACGTGATCTGCGGGACTGCCGGGCGCCGGGACCGGTGAGCCGGCGCCCGCCCGCGGCCTGAAAGGGGGTGTGGCCTGGGAGGACCAGGACGAGGGGCGGAGTCTGAGGATGATGGCGGTGAAAGACAGGGCCGGGAACGAATAGGAACAGGGTCAACAGTCAGAGCGGTAAGGGGCGGAGCCATGGAGTGTAGGACGGGAAGGGGCGTGGCCTGCATCAGGACCGGGACAAGGAGGTAGCGCGGACCCTGAGTGAGGTGAGGGACCAGGCCTCCCTCGGATGTGAGAGCTCGACTCTGGGCGACCCAGTCACAATGTCAGCGTAGGGGTCGGAGCCCGGGAAAGCACCGATGAGGGGAGCCTGGTCTAAGCACATTGTATAGTCGGGTCACTAGCGAGGGTCACTTATCAGGCGGGACCCGATCTGGTTCGGGGTCCTGGGGCAGGGCGGGGTCTGTGGCGGCGATCTGAAAAGATAGTGCCTCCTTACATCCCGAAAGTCGCGATTACGGGACAGGTGGGACGACGGGGGCAGAAGGTCACCCCAGGAGCAAGTGGAAGCACAGAGAGACCTCGAGCAGAGACAAGGGCTGGAGAATCTGGGGTCGGAGTGACGGATTGAGTCCACGAGTGGAACTAAACGGGGTCTCTTCGACCACCGGCGAGCTGATCTCCCTCTCGCCCACCTCTCTCAGGTGGCTCATCACGGTCTCCGACTTCCAGACTCGCTCGCGCCTGCTGCGCTCGGGACTAAGCCCGCGCGGCGTCGCGCACCCGCTCGTGCGCCACGACGAGCTGCTGCTGGGCGACTACCGCCTGCACCTGCGGCGCGCCATGGTCCGACGGCGCATGCTCGAGGCGCTGGGGGCGGACCCGACCGAGGACGTGTGAGCCGCGGGGGCGGGCCCCGCCGCGCTTCGCCCCGCCCCCTCGGGCGACCAATCCGGAGCCCGGGATCTGAGGGTGCGTGGCCTTCCCAGGAAGGAGGCGGGGCCGGCTCGAGGGGATGGATACTGTGAGTTTAATTATAAAGAATGACCTGGTACAAAAGCCTTTTCTCTCTGCAAAATCTTGGTGGGAGTCAGGGGGAGGAAGGTGACGGGGCAGGGGGGGTTTAAAGATGAACCCCCATAATATATCCCGCCTCCCTCAAATGGACACCTGGGTCCCAAACCCTTGAAGGATAGTTGAGGGCAGACCTGGGCGCCCGGCTTTCACCGCGAGTGACCCCGACTCAGCGAGACCCAGACGTCCTCATCCGCCCCCCTCCTTTGCCTTCTACCACCGCCCCCTCTTGGAAGACAATTCTCGGGCTTTTATTTCAGGGTTTTTTTTTTTTCTGGAATTTTTTTTGTGTGTATGTCCTAGGGTTCATTTTTGTGTATTTTTTTTTGTTATTGTTCCTCTTTTTGCTTCATCTCTCCTCTCTGCCCCCCATCCAGTCCCTTCCCGCTCCCTGCCCTCTCCTCCCCCCTCCCACCCCTTTACACCCTCCCCAACCCCGCGGCACCCATCCAGAATGAACAAGCCCTTGGTAGATGGGCGCCGCGCAGGCCCCTGCGGATGTAGGTATCTGACCAGGAGGAGGTGGCGGGGAGGGGCCTAATGCCACCCTCGCCCCCTCCCTCTCCCCTCCCACAAGGTTCCCCGCAGATCCCTGACGTGGTGAGGGGAGAGGGCTGCGAGCACCCTCCCCCTTAATGGAGCAAGACCACCACCCGCTCAGGGGTAGGAGGCAGTGGGGGGCAGGGGCTGGGGGAGGGGGAGCTCCCTTCTTTGGCAGCTGAACACGGGGGTAGGGGGACCTGAGGGTGGCGCCCTCCCCCCTTTACCCACAGTAGGGGAGGGGGCTTCCCAGGAGAAAGGGGTGGCTTAAAATTCCCAAGCCCCAGGAAGAAGGGGGGAAGCGTGCGGGAAAGAACAGCCAGGCTGGAGGGGGACCAGTTTCTTGGGGGAGATGGGAGCATCATTTTCGTGCAAAACGATGGACAAATGGCCCGGAACTGGGGTGAGGGGGATACACTGCAGGGTGATGATGAGCAGGGGGAGGAGAGTCACAAGCCTCAGAGATGCAGTGCCCGGCGGCAAAGGGAGAAAGAGCACAGGGGGCTAAGAGTGGGCAGCGCCATTGGGGGTGGGGTGGGGCGAGCAAACAAGCTGCAGAAAGAGAAATGAGAGCCAGCCTAACAGCAAGTGAGTGTGGGGGTGCAGGAGGGTCTCCTAGAGGGAGAGGGGTCAAGCTGCCCAGGGTGGGGTGGGGGACTGAGAAGAATGAATGGGAACTGAAGAAGGAGTGGGCAGCACAGCCAGAGTATGCAAGAACCTTGTTTGCAACGGGGGAGGCAGAGGGCCAGGAGAGCAGTGGACGGGCCAGGGAGGGGCCAGGTGCCAGGAAGTCCCTCAGGGGGACAAGAATGGAGCAAGATTTGAAAAAGAAAGTTGGGCAAGGCAGAGCAGCCCTGCCCCAGTGCGAGAGAGTGAGAGACAGACAGACAAGAGAGAGACAGAGACAGAGAGAGAGAAGAGAGGGAGAGAGGGGAAGGGAGGCAGGAGAGAGAGAGAGGAGTGTGGGAAGAAGTCCTGGGAGGAAGCCTTAGAGGCCGCGTGCTAGGAGGTGCCCAGGTAGCCAGTATGTAGAAGCCCAGCAGCCAGGAGGGGTGCAGACCAGCCAGCACAAATGCTGCAAGCTGGGGGTGGGGTGGGTGTGGAACAGGGGTCCCAAGTGTGTCTGCAGCAAGGGTCCAGAGTTTCCAGAGGGAGAGGGGAGGGCACAGGAGAGAGAGCAGGGGCCTGGCACAAGGAGACAGTGAAGCAAAGCAAGTGAGCACAGAGAAACAGCTGGGAGGAGGGCAGGAAGAGGAGCTTGCAAGCCCCTGGGAGGGGGGATGGGGAGCTGAGGAGAGGAGCTTGCAAGCCCCCAGAGAAGGCGGAGAGTGTGCAAGATAGCGAGGGGCAAATTTGTGCAAAAATGTAGCCCGGGGAGCAGGGAGAGCTGCTAGCAGGAGTGCAAAGAAGCGTGCAAGAGACTGGGGCAAGGAGAGGGGCCTGGGGAGGGGAAAGGGTGTTGAGAGGGATGGCAGGTGGTGGAATCCGAGGGCACCCCCTTCTCCTGAGGCTTGGGGGACAGCCCCCATCCCATCAGGCTCCGGGCTGACCCTCTATGGCTCTGTCTGTCCCCCCCTTCCCCAAACTGACACTTTCCTCCTCCTTGGTCCCCGTTCCCCACCCCCCACCTCCTCCTCTGATGCCCCCCTCCTAGGAGGCGCAAATATCTGGATGCCAGGAGCAGGCCACCTGGTGACCTCCGACCTTGGGCGACCAGAGGGCAGGACAGGGCAGGGCAGGGGCACCCAGTTTCAGCAGAGTCCCTCACCCTGGGGAAGAGGGTGAAGGTTGGGGTCAGAGGTCAGCCAGGCTCCAAGGGTTCCAGCGGATGGTCTGGTCCATCCAGGCCAGCCATCACCTTTCCAGGAAGAATTTGAGAGCCCGGTCAATGTTCATGCGGTGGCCCACTCGGGTCACGCCCAGGTCCACATAGTCCTCCTTGGTCAGGGCGGGCAGGTGGGAGCCATCGATCTCATGGTCCAGGAACTGGGCTCGGTGCTCAGCCAAGCCCAGCCATTCCAGCCAGTCGGCCACATCAAACTTGGTCCAGAACCCCAGGGGCTTCGCGCCAAAGGGCTTGTCCGGGGGCAGCGGCAGCAGCCGGGTTGGTGAGAGGGAGCGGGAAGCCCCTGACAAGCCTCCCCCGAGGCCCCCAGACATCCCCGGGTGTGGCGGCACGAAGACGGGGGCGAAGGGGTCAGCAGAGCCTCCTGCCCCTCCAGTGGGGGAGCCACGGATGTCGAAGAGGCCAGGATAGAGGGGTCCGGAAGGCAGGATGGGCAGGGACGAGGGCCGGGGTGCAGGGCTGACCTTGTGCTCCGAGGTGGGCAGCAGCGAGGGACTGGGGGCCCGGCGGAGCAGCGGGGACCGCATCTCGAAGTCCACGCCCTGGAGGTGGCGGGTGGACGTGGAGGAGGAGCCGGAGGGCGAGGTGGCCCCCTGGGCTCCAGCAGCTGCAGGGGGGACCCCGGTTCCTGGGGGGAGTGGCGGCAGAGGTGGTTTGGACCAGTTCTGAAACAGGCTGCTGACAGGTTTGGAGAGGATGGAGGGCTGAGGGTCTTCCGAGATTCTGGAATGTGATAAGGGGACAGGGGTGGAGGAGGTGGGGGGGGTGCGGAGGCAGAGGGCAAGATATAGGGCAAGAGGAAGAGAGACATAGGGGCAGGTGGGGGAGAGGTGGAGAGAGTGATAGGGAGAGAGAGGGGGTCAGATGGACATCAGAACAGAAATGAAGGGAGAGAGAGAAATGAGAGGACAGGGAGAGGGTGACAGTCGAGAGATGAAAGAAAAAGAGACATTAAGTGATTGTAATAATCATCGCCACCACTTACTGATGCTCACGTGTGCCAGGCATTGTTCCAAGTGTGTTACAGGGCACCCTCTCAAATTAATCTCCCCGTGACCGCCCTGATGCCTCTTACTATTGAAATCATCAGCAGAGAGGGTAGGTAACTTGCCTAAGGAACACACGGCCAGGAAGTGGCAGAGCCCGGTTATATGGCACCAAAGTCTGAGCTCTTAATCACTACTCTATACTGCCTTTGGGGTTATGCCAAGTCACAGCAGAGTGGAAGACAGGGAGACGGTGAGCAAGGAACGAAGAGAAGGTGAGCATTCAGGGGACAGATGGAAGGGGTCAGGGGACAGAGAGAGAGAGGGAGAGAGATGGGGAGAGGGAGATGAAGGAGAGAAGAAACAAGGGGAGAAGAAGGTTCCCCTCATCCCTTTGGCTCCCTCCAGGAGTCTGGCTCAAGGCCTGGGATCCCGTTGTTCCCTTGGTCCAGCTGCTCCTTTCCCCAGGCTCTGATTGGCTCTCTCCTCCCCAGGCTCTGATTGGCTCTCTCCTCCCCAGGCTCTGATTGGCTCCTTCATCCCCAGATTCTGATTGGCTCCCTCCTCCCCCAGGCTCCGATTGGTCCACTGTTCCTCTCTACACTACTACTTGTGCTCCCAGTCTGAGACTGCAGCAACCATCCCCTTTCCGTCTTTTGCAACAACGGAATGATAGATGGTTTCGTTGTCTGACCCCACCCTGGCTCTTCAAGGCTGTGCTTTCCGAGGGAAGTGCTTTGCTCAGCTGGGAGCATTGCCGGGCATACTGCAGGGGGTGCTGCCCATTATCCCCAGGGGTACTCCGGATATAGGAGGGGAATGGGCACATCTGCTGACCCAGTCACCCATTCTCTCCAATATGGACTGGAGAGATTGTACAGCGGAAAGGCGTTTGCTTTGCATCAGCCGACCCGGATTGGATCCACAGCACCCTATTTTGTCCTCTAAGCCCCAGAGCCAGGACGAGGCCCTGAGAACCTGAGAATAAGTGTGGACCCCAAACCAAAATAAAAATAAGCAAGAAGTTGCCCTAAGGGAGGGCCAGCGGGCAAGCTCAGTGGCTGGTTCCATGCCTGGAAGTCTGATACCTGGTGGGGACGGGGGTGGGTGGGAGGGGTGTCCCACAGCGTTGAGTTGGCAGTGGGCTCTGAGCAGCTCTGCGTGTGACCCCAAACAATAAAACCAAGCACAAAAGTTCATCTCAAAGGCCTCACAAAACCACATGCAAACAGCAACTGGAAGCACAGCAGGCACCTCACACAGAAACACAGCCCAGGGCAGCATCACCAACCCTGTGAACCACAGGGTGCTCCGCTGCTCTGCAGACCACTGAGCACATGACAGCTCGGGCTGTGGACCCAGGACTGATCCTAGCAACATGACTCCATCTCCCCAAACCCCAAATAGCCTTGTACAAGTCTGCACTGGGTGGCAATACAGAGCAAAGCTCTGACAGGACCATCCAATACTGCCTGGGCTTCTGCAAGTCACACCACGGCCCCAGCTGCCATCCGTGACCATCCACCAGAGAATCAAATCCCCATTGGCCAAGAGCTATGAAAGTGAGGGGCTGGGAGTGGAAACCCGATAGGTAAAGCACCAGGCCCCCACGTGCGGGGCCTCTAGCCACCTCAAACCAGAAAGCCCCCGAGGAGCCAGACATCAGTTGGGTGTGTGTGCACCAGGAGCTTTCCTTAAGAGCTGTGTTCAGCAGAGGCTGTGGTGGAGCAGGGGACCCCACAGACTCCCCTGAGATAAGGGGGATGTTGAAACTTTCTGAGGACGCTAGCTGCTCAAGAGCCAACCTCTGCAAGCCACCCTGAGCCCCCTGCAGGAACAGACACCCACCGGCTCGGCCCGTGGGGCCTCTGTCACCAACCACCAGCCCCAGCTCACCTCTGGCGCTGCAGGGACGAGGTCCTCTCCGGGACGTAGCTGGCTCCCCCGTGGTGGCTGTCCCCATTTCCCCCGCTGCCTCCCCGGGCCCAGGGCAGAGCGCCACCAGCTGCCGACGAGCCCCCAAACTGCTGGAGCTTGGAGCTGAGCTCGCTGATGATGCTGGCTTTGACCGTGGCCAAGGCGGAGGCCTGAGGCTGGGCTAGGGGCCCGGGCAGGGGTGGCGGCGGGGGGCCAGGGCCCTCCTCCCAGGGCAGCAGCTTCCGAGGCAGGGAGGAGGAGGACGGCAAGGGCACTGGGGGACCTTCTGGCTCTAGCGACACTGGACTCCCGGCCACACCTGCCACCGAGGGTCCCGAGCAACCGCTCAGGGCCAGCAGCCCATCCGTGCCGGCTCCGGTCACCGAGACGGTGGGGCTGGTGGGAGTGACGGGGTCTCGAAGGCCCCCTCCAGGGCTCGGTCGCAGGCCCGCGGACCCCAGCGCCCGCCCCCGGAGCTTGGATGGAGTCATGAGCTGTGGGGGGTAGGGAGGGGCCGGCGTCCCGCTTCCCCCAAAGGCCTGGCCGTCCAGGTAAGCCACATACGTGTCCAGAAGCTCAGGCCCGCCGGCCACGATGCCACCCCCTGCCCCCGCGCTGACTCCGCCTTCGGCCGACAGGCTGCTGAGCGTCGACGCGCTGCTGATGGTCTCCAGCGGGTGGTCGCTGCTGCTGCGGCTGTCCACCTCCTCGATGCCCGAGTCGGTACCGGCGGGCGGGTCGGGACCTGGCGGTGGGGCCGGGGCCGGGGCGGCGACCGGGGCCGGGGGGCCCGGAGCCGGGGTGTCTCCGGGAGGCGCGGGGGCCCCCTGCGTCAGCGTGGCCACCTCGCTGTCGTAGGAAGTCAGGCTGGAGGGCGTGGAGTCCAAGGCGGGCGGGGCGGCGGCGACGGCGGGGGGCGGCGCCGGGGGCGCAGGGGCGGCGGGCGCGGGCGGCTCGGGCAGCGGGTGGGGCGGCCCCGGCGTGAGCGGCGACTCGGGCTTCTCGAAGCTGTTGGAAAACTCCAGCGGCGGGGGCAGCGGCTCCACGAAGAGGAACTCGCCGTCCTCCACGTCCACCGACGGGGCGGGCGGCGGCAGCACCAGCAAGGGAAGCCCGTTCTCCTCGCTGGGCCGGGGGGACGTGGGCGACGGGGGCACGGAGCGGCGCGGGCTGGGCGGCGGCACCGCGGGCCCGTCCTCCGACGGTGGCCCTCGCGGCCCGGGGCCGGCCGTGGCGGCGGCGGCGGCGGCGGCGGCGGCGGCGCGGGGCTGGCAGTTCTCCAGGAACCGCACGTGCAGCGGAAGGCGCTCGGGGTCGTCGGGGGCGCCGGACCTCCAGGCCTTGCTCACCCCGGGGAGCGGGCTCGGGGGCTCGGGCCCCAGCTGCAGCAGGAGGGGCCCCACCCCGGGGGCCGTGGGGGGCAGGCGGTGCAGCAGGGACCGGCGCGCCGCGGGCGGGCTGGCCGAGAGCGACTTCTCCTGGCTGCCCAGCGAGGGCCGGTACCCCAGCTCCCGGCGGACGGGGTCCGGGGAGGAGGACCCCCAGAGGCGCAGCACGGGCTCGTGGTGGCCGTGCGGTGAGTGGTGGTGAGGGGTGGGCGGCGGGACCTCGTAGCGGGGCGAGGGGGGCCTAGGAGGGGGCTGCGGCCCCACGCCGCCCTCCGAGGACTCCTTCAGCGCCCTCTCGCGGGCGGCCAGGGCCAGCCCGAGCGGGGAGGCGGGGTCCAGGGCCTTGCCGGTCAGCGGGTGGACCAGCGGCCGCGGCGGCAGGAAGCTGGTGAAGGCGCTGCTGCCCCCGCTGCCCCCGTAGGCTCGGCCGCCGGCCGCGTACGCCCCGTAGCCCCCGCCGCCGCCGCCGCCGGACTCCAGCCGCAGGTACGGCTCGGCCGAGAACATGCCCTCGTCGATGGACTTGGAGTGGCGCAGCCGCGGGCCCGGGGGTGCGCCCGAGCCCAGCGCGCCGCCGCCGCCGCCCGCGTCCTCGTCGCCCGCGTCGGTGGACAGGAAGAGCGTGGAGCGCCGGCGGGCTTCGCTCTGCCAGCCCCCTTCGCGCCGGGCCGCGCCCACCAGGGCTGCCCCGAACTGGCTGGTGAAGTCCAGGGTGGCCGGGCCGCTGGGGGAGGCGGGCGTGGGCACGGGCGAGGGCGAGGGCGGCACGGGCGAGAGGGGCGGCGCGGGGCTGGACGCCGACGAGCCGCCGCCCCCCGCCGCCTCGGCCTGGCTGGGGGGCTCGGCCTCCGTGCTGCTGCCCTGGCTGCTGCGGCCGCTGCTACTGGTGGACGGCGCCTTGATGATGATGGTGGGGATGGGGATGGAATTCTTCTCCGACGGCGCGGCCGGCGGCGGCTGCGGCGACGCGGGGGACGTGGGCGAGGCCGCCAGCCCGCCGCCCTTTTGCGGCTCGCCCTCCACTTTGGTCTGCTTGACCAGCGGGCCCTTGCGCCCCCGGCCCGAGCGGGCCGGCACGTACATGGCCGCGCTGGCCGCCCGCGGGGGCAGCTGGAAGTAGCGCAGGGCGGGCGCCTGGGCCGTGGAGGAGCCGCCGCCGCCGCCGCCGCCCCCGACGCTGGCGTGATGCGACGGGGACGCGGAGCCCGGGGTGGGGCTGGGCCCGCCGCCGCGCCAGCCGCGCAGGCTGGGTTGGGGCCCCAGGGCCAGTCGGGGCGGGGGGTCGTCGGGGGAGCCTCCCGTCTCCATCTCCGGCGGGTGCGGCGGGTGCGCGTGGTGGTGGTGGGGCTGGGGCGGCGGCGCGTGGTGGTGGTGGTGGTGGGGCGGGTGGTGGTGGGGGGGCGGCAGGGGCCCGCTGTGGTACAGGCTCTTGTCGCGCATCCCGAGGCGGCCCTCGGGGAGGGTGGGGCCGTCGAAGGAGGACGGGGAGGAGGCGGGGTGGGTGCTGGAGCCCGGGTTAAAGGGCCCCCGCAGGGAGGGGGTGAGGCGGCCGGAGGAGGAGGGCGCCGGGGGGGTGCTGTAGGGCGGCTCCGGGGGGGACGTGGTGGGCGGCGGGGGGATTTCCTCGGAACCAGGCACAGACAGGCTGCGGCTGAACTTCATGGCTGGGGGTGCTAGGTAGGGTCTGTCATCCTCAGCAGCCCCTGGGGAGACAGAGGATCCAGGAGGGGGCGGGGAGGTGGGGTGGCAGCAGGTGAGGACCGCGAGGGCGGCGCCCGGCAAAGCCCCGCGGCGCCAAATCCAAAGGGGGCGGGGACCCCGCGGGAACGGGCTGTGCACTGCGCCGCGGCCAACGGTAGGGGGAGCCGGCGGGGTGGGGAGAAGCGCAGCCGAACTTCCTCCCTCGGCCAGGAGGGGGCGCCCTGCCCTAGTGCGCTCAAGGCCAGTTCTCGCTAGGAGGAGGGAATGAAAGATCAATAGGGAAGGAACAGGCACTGCAGGCGGGTAGGGCAGCCCTGGAGGCTGGGGGGAAGTCAGCTACACGTGGCGGCGGCAATCTGAGGGGTCCGAGGAAGCAGGCTCTGCAGCCCAACCCCATTCATTACCTGGGCTGGATCCCACCTTTGTCGTGGGGCAGCTTCCCCCCCACCCCCTACCTGTTTCCCTGACTTCATCCCCCTCTGCTCCTACTAGCTTCCTCTTTCTCTCTCTCTCTCTCTCTCTCTCTCTCTCTCTCTCTCTCTCTCTCTGCACTTGCACTTTCCTCCTTCACTACTTCCTACTTCTCTCTGGTGAACCAGAAGGCAGCTCGGAGGAACCGCCAGCTACCGCTGGCCATAGGACAAATTCTCCAAACACAAAGACAAAATCCTGTAACCGTGAGGGAATGCATGAACGAACGGTCAGCTAGGAGGGAAGGAACCAGGCTCTGCGTGGGGCCTCTGACCGCCTGAATACAGGTGACGCCAAGGCTGTCCCCTTTCTGGGCATGCAGAGCCCACAGCTCAGACAGATGCCGATGTCTGGATAGTGACTGGTCATTATGCTCAACAGCACAGTGCAAAACCCAATTCAGGGTCCTGCCCAAAGTGACAGAGGTGACCGACAGAAGTTGGAAGGGACATTTCCAGCAGCCCCCATCATCCTGCCGCCCCTCCCCACGGCAGCTCCCCTCACAAGCACCTGGCAGGGCCCACAGCCGACGTACCAATAGACTTCTGCCGGAGCATGAGCCCAGGGCCCGGGGGCAGGTAAGAAGGTCGTTCATAACTGGGCTGGGAGCGGTGGTGGGGATCAAAGCTTGACTTGAGGCAGCAGTTGGGGAGGAAAGAGAAAAGAGCAGAGAGAGCGCGATCAGTCAGGGTGCCTGGGTACCCACGTTTCCCACTGGCCTGCCCCTTTTCAGCATGACCAAGGGGGTGGGCAGGAAAGGTTTCATTCTGAGTTGGTGCTGCAGGGGGAAAAAAGGGAAAGAAATCGGGTTATCAGCTGCCCTGATGCCCATGGGACTCACCCCCTGGGGCCCTTTCTTCCCCCTTAGACCTCCAGGCCACCAGTGGGCGCTGTACAAGAAACTGGACTATGCTTAGAATCCTATACTGGCACCCTGCATCACCCAAGTCTGTCCTCATTTTTTTTCTCTTGGGCCACACCTGGTGATGCTCAGAATTTACTCTTGGCTCTGCACTCAGGAATCACTCCAGGCCGGCTCGGGAGACCGGATGGGATTCCGGGAATTGAGCACGGGTCAGCCACGTGCAAAACAAACACCTTCCCCTCTGCACTCTTTCTGCTCCGGCCTGTTTCCAATTCGTTGTGGTACGTTTTGCCACTGGAAATGACCTTGGGCACGTCTCCTCCATCTCCTGCCTACAATGCCACTTCCTGAGGACCCCGTGGAATGTGAAGCCCAGAACACAGAGGTGTGTGTGTGGGGGGCGGGGGACACAAGATACTTCTTTTTATTTTTTTCTTTTTGGGTCACACCCAGCGATGCACAGGAATTACTCCTGGTTCATGTGCTCAGGAATTACTCCTGGAGGTGCTTGGGGGACCATATGGGATGCTGGGTATTGAACCTGGGTTGGCCACGTGCAAGGCAAACGCCTTACCCGCTGTGCTATTGCTCCAGCCCCAAGATACTTCTTTTAAAATTAGAAAGTGGGGAAGCACATCCTCAAACCCCAATAAGTCATTTTTATACCACACAACAATGAAATATAATTTTTAAAGGGTCAGAGAAACAGGATGGTAGTTAAGACCCGGTATGTGGCCAAACCCAACTCCCACCACGTGACTCCTCTGAGCACTACCAGGAGGGATCCCTGAGCACAGCCAGATGTGCTCCCCAAACCCAACTCTCACCCCCACCCCACAAAAAACAAAACCTTGTAAAGGTTGGGGATGGAGCTAGAGGTAGAGTAACTGTTGTGCACGTATGAGTCCTGGGTTCAATCCCTGGCACTACAAAAATGGAACAGAAAGAACTGAGGGGCAAGAAGGGGCGAGGGAAGATGGAAGGGCGGACTTCCTCTGGAGGGTCAAAGGCTGTGTCGCAGTCACTGCAGGGTCCCCTAACCCCAAATCAGACCTATGTGTCCAGTCTCTCCACTGGTGATCTCCATGTGTCTGTTCCTGGTGTTTGACACCAGAGTGCAGGAAAAAGGAAACCCATGTCTCTCTTGGGGCCAGAATGATAGGACAGTGGGTAGGGTATTTGCCTTGCACACAGCTGACCTAGATTCGAACCCTGACATACCATTCCCTGCACACTGCCAGATGTGATTCCTGAATACAGAACCAGGAGTAACCCCTGAGCACTGCGGGGCACAGCCTCAAAACAAAAACAAAAACAAGAAAAGAAAAAAAGGAAATCCTCTTAGGAGACAGCTCCAACTTTGGGGTCACACTCAAACCAGCCACACCTTCTGGCCCCTAGACCTAAATTCCCCTCTCAGGATTCTGGGGTTGAACCCTCATCTGGGAGCCTCGGCTATCTCCTCGGGAGCACCTTTCCCCTGGCTCTGCCTGGGAAAACTTGTCCCCCACCAAACTCAGTGCTCCCTTCTTCTAGACCTGGACCATTCAGTGTAGTGGCCATTTGCATATAAATTTCTGTAGTTAAAACTGATTAAAATGACGCGTGCCAAAGAGACAGAGCATGAGGGAAAGTTTTGCCTTGCATCCCATTGATCTTAGATTCTAGCACTGCACAGAGTCTCCAGAGAATAGCCAGGGGTGACTTCTGAGCAGAGAGCCAGGAATAGCCCCTAAGCACCTCTGGGTGTAGCCCAACCTCCCTCCAAATATGATTAATTAAGCAATGTAGTAGATTCCAATGGGCTGGAGCGATAGCACAGCAGGTAGGGCATTTCCTTGCACATGGCCGACCTGAGTTCTATTCTTCCGCCCCTCTCGGAAAACCCAGCAAGCTACCAAAAGTATCCCGCCCGCACGGCAGAGCCTGGCAAGCTCCTTGTGGCGTATTCGATATGCCAAAAATAGTAACAAGTCTCACAATTTGTTGTGAGATGTTACTGGTGCCCGCTCGAGCAAATTGATGAACAATGGGAGGACAGTGCTACAGTATATTCCGATGTCAAGGCAAAAAGCTGATCCCTGAAGTTTAAAAATTGAAAATGGGGGCTGGAGCGATAGCACAACAGGGAGGGTAGTATGCAGCCAACTCGAGCTCCATCCCCAGCATCCCACAGGGGCCATCCAACACCACCAGGAGTAATTCCTGAGTGCAAAGCCAGGAGTAACCCCCGAGCAACACCAAGTATGGTCACCCAATAACAACAACAACAAAAAGACAGTGATGGGGTAGGCAGCCGAGGAGGCAGTCAACTACATCCCATGTGCGCCATCCTGGGTCCCACCTGAAGAAAGACATCACCACTAAGAAAAGGTCTCAGGACTTAACAGTTGAATGACGGTTTCTAAGAAGGCAGTTGGGGATATTGAGTGAGGATGGTGAGGGAAGCAGACCTGGGGGGCCATCCTCGCTGAGTCTTACACCTGAAAGTTCCTTTTTTTTTCTTTTGCTTTTTGTGTCACACCAGCGATGCACAGGGGTTACTCCTGGCTCTGCACTCAGGAATTACTCCTGGCAGTGCTTGGGGGACCATATGGGATGCTAGGGATTGAACCCGGGTCGGTTGCGTGCAAGGCAAACACCCTACCCGCTGTGCTATCACTTCAGCCCCTCACCTGAGAGATCTTACAGTCCATCTGGAACCTGCACAATGTTATGGGCCAAAGTCGTGGCCATGAGAACAAACCTCCTGCCCCCATCGAACACTACTCAATCGGCACACGGAGCTGGTGGCTACTGGACAGCGTAAAAGTAGGTCCTTGGAGCACACAGTTCTTTACGATGTCCTAACTGGCCACTCTTGGAGCTCACATGTGTTGGCCTGCAGAGTTTCTCTTCCTTACCAAGATGATGGATGGTTGTGTCTGTCACGTATAACGCTTAGTCCCCAAATCCTTATCCATTTGATTCTTCCTTGGGAAGAAGCTCTCCATTCTAGTTGGTATGTGTTCGGAGATTACATTCCCCAGACTCCCCCATAGGCTGGCTCTGGCCATGGGGATTAGGGGTGGCCTACATGCATAAATGGAACGTTCTGTGTCACTTCCAGAAGTCCCATTAGCAGTAACCCAAACAGTAATATGTCCCCCTTCACCCCTCCGTGTTTTCACTTGTTTGAGTTCTTGCTCCCTGGGATGCTGGTGCAATTGCTGGAGCTCCAGCTGAGGCCATGAGGTGACTGCAGCTGGTAGCAAGGCACAGAAGGTGGAGCAGAAGCAGAGAACAGAAGGACCTGATGACCATGGAGGCTGCCATACCTGCGCGGCCCCTATCCAACTTCTCAAATATGAGAAATACAGAAGCACCAATCTTGTTCCAGTACTGTGATTCAGAAGTTTCTTTTATGCACCAGCAGACTCCAATTTTAAAAATACCTCCCTCTTCCTGAGGTGAAATTTGCTAAGAGAAAAAATAAAAACGTTGCTTGGCTGGTACATACCAATACTTGGGAGGCTGAGAAGCAGGCTCAGCACACAGGAGGTACCCAGTAGGTATTTCTGAAGTAAAGGACTAACCGGAAGTCCTAACAGGATGGGGTGGTGGTGTTGCATCTCAAAGACAGAACCCAGGCCTGTGCCTCAGATGATCACTGGTTGATCAGATGATCAACAGCACCCCACTCTGGTACACCCATCTCCTACTTCCAGTACACCGTCTCTTACTTCCAGTAAGCCTACACCCCACTTCCGGCAAGCCCACTTCCACTGCACCTCCTTCGCGCTCTGGCATCACTGTATACTTTCCTAAACATCTTCCCTAAATCTTGACCAAATGCTCTGCTTGCGTTTCCACCCTGACCTGCAGCTAATGATGATCCAAACCCTGGCCACGGCATGGTGGCAAAGGGGCCAAAAGAGGAGGAAGTATTTTCACACCAACCACCCTGCTGCCTGCTTTGTGTGGGTCCTCACTGGCTTCCAACCAAGGAGTGTTGGGGGTAGGGTGGATTGTGCCATTCAGATGAAGATGAAAGAGTGTCGAGGACAGGTCAAGTCCTGAGTAAAGAGGTGACAGGGCTGCCCAAGGAAACATGCAGGAAAAAGCCTTGGAAGAAAAGAGTGCAAAGACGAGAGCCTGCAGTTACGAGAGGCGGGTGGGTGGGAGCATGCAGAAGAGGCTGCAGCCAGGACTGGGGAGACTGGGCAGGGCAAGTGAGAGGAAGAGCAGGAGCAAGAGCTTGTCCTGCATGTGACCAAGCCAGGTTCGATTCGCAGCACCACATATGCTGAGCTCACCAGAAGTGACTCTTGGGCACCAAGCCAGGAGTAATCCTGGAGTACCATCAGACTCGAAAGAAAAGCAGATCATCAGAAGACAGGTGCACCCTCTGGGGGTCTGAGGCCCAAGTGATGGGGAGAGCAATTCTGAATTTATTGTGTTGTTTTGGGGCCATCCCCAGCTATACTCAGGGGTTATTCCCGGTTCCGCACTCAGGGACCACTCCTGACAATGTTCAGGGGATCCTAAGGAGGTCCAAGATCAAACCCCAGTCGGCCTCATGCACGGCATATGCCCTCCCTGCTGTGTGATCTCTCTGGTTCCAGTCAGTCCTCAAAGAGTTGAGGAAGTATTAGTGAAGGAGTCAAAACCGAGATAACTGGACATCAGGGTAATCGGAGTGGTTAAGTGGAACAGCGACCTAAAAGTGTCTGAAGGAGAAGGCATAGCCAACTACAGGGCCCCAGTCACACATGCGGTCCTGTGAGCTGGGTCCTCCCCTCCCTGCACTTCCTGGGTGGGTCACTCTGGGTCGGGTGCCTCAGTGGCTAAGAAGACGCCTCGCATGGTGATGTGCAAAGACGTTTCGCATGGTGATGTGCACGGCTGGCAACTCTCAATGGGCCAGGAAACTTGTACCAAAGAAACAAGGCCTGAGGACGAGGAGGGGGTGATGGAGAGACTGTGCGTGATCGGGTGGGGTGGGACCAGGGGACTCTGGGTAGAGACGACACTTAGGTGGGGCACAGGAGGGGGAGTGGGGCAGAGGGAGGAGAAAGAAGGTCCTTAGAGGCCCCGAAACGGAGAAAGCAGAGATTCCCGGAAGGGAAGTCTGGCAGGGATAGCAGCCAGGGTGCGGTGACACTCAGAGGAAGAAACAGTCCAGAGAAGATACCCTTGAGAGTGGAGATGGAGGCACAGGCCTGACCCCATCCTACAGCTGAGAACAGACAGCAGAGCCCAGCAGGAGAGATCTGGGGGTACGTGGAGCTGGTGGACAGGGATGGGACAGGGAGGGCAAGTGGGATCCCTGTGGTTGTCAGAGGAGAGGGCAAGAGGGCAGGGACAGAGCAGGACCCTGGCAGGAGAGGGAGACCCGAGGTACAGAGGCGGGAGGAAGAGACCAAGATGACAAAGGGAGGAGGATGAAGGGGCAGTCGGAGCTCTGTTGGGGACCCGGCCCCCATCAATCTAGCAAGGAGAGAGAAAAGGAGACTCCAACGGGAAAAATAAGCCCTGCTCATTGGCCCGACCCAAAATGTGCAGCCAATAACAGGGCCCCAAGCGCACACATGATCTGGAAGGGGGAAGGGAATTTGGGGTGAGGATGGAGAAACATCTAGAAGGAGAAATAATGAAATGAGATTAACTGCAGGGAGACCCCAGGCCTCCAGTAATAATGAATAAACGAACATGCATATTCTGAACCTCACTCCAGTTACGGGCACACACAAGGAGTCCAGTTAGTGGCTGAGAAACAGGGAGGCATCTTTCCCCAAGCAAGACAGTCTTCTTTATCCTGTCTGGGGTGTGAAGGGATTGCCAACAGCTGGGAAGGATAGAGACCCCCAGTGTGGGGCAGCTGTCTGTCTGATAAGGCATGGGATCCCGCCCCCCCACCAGCAGGGCTAACTCAGGATCAGACAGTCCCAGCCTTTGTCACTGGGGGTTAAGCTCTCGAGCCAGAAACTCCTTTCTATCTGCAAACTGAGCCCTGAGTGTATCTCAGGTGTGTTTCTGTTTCAAGACTCTGGTTTGATAATACACCAGACTCATTCACAGCGATGTCAGGAAGCTCATTTAACACTTAGATTTTATACTCATAACAACAAAAACTACTTTGATTTCTATCCCAGCCCTCTCACCCTCAACACAGAGCTTAGGGGGCATTCTAGGATAGCCCAATAAAAGACCCCAAATGCAAAAGAAAAAAAAAGAGGGGCATAAATTTTTTTTTAAAAAATGGGCTGGCTACTGATTGAGCTGCTTCATGGTCATTATCCCAGAGACTCAGAAACAAATCTCGGAACCCAGCGGCTTTTGGCAGAAATCCCTCCAGATTTAATTATTAAAACTTCAGAATTACAAAATTGTGACATCATATGCAATTCATAACCAGCTATAGAAAACAAATTGTCTAATGTTGCCTTTTCGTCAGATTTGGTAAAATCCCAAATAATAATGGTGAGTCTGGTGTCGAAATATTGAAGGTAATCAAAGTAGAAAGAGAGTAATGTGGAAATCGTCTTCCACACAGGTAGGGGGAGGGTGTGGGAAAGTTGGGATGAGAGGGTATTCTGAGGTTTTTGGTGGTGGAAAAATGTGTACTGGTGAAGGGACGGGTGTTTCATCATTGTATGACCGAGACTTACACCTAAAACTTTGTAACTGCTCTCCCAGTGGTTCAATAAATAAAACAGAAAAGAAAAAGAAAAAGAAAAAAAATGGTATGGCAGAGATAGTACCGAAGATATGACACTTTCCTTGCAAGCAGTCAGCCTGGGTTTGATCCCCTGAACCTCCTAGAGACCCCTAAGCCCTCACCTTACCAACCCTCAACCCCGCAAAAAAAAAATCCAGCACAGTCTGTAAGAGGCTGTGAGAAGGCATCAAAGATAAGATGAGGGTGAGACTGAATCTTCAGCTGATGGTGGGGGGTCATTTGTGAAGGAACTTTCCTACCTGTATCCCTTCTTTTGCTCCTTGGTGTATAAAACTTTATACCTTTATAAGCATTATTTGGACACAAGTTATCGCTGAGCACAGAGCCAGGACTCTGAACCCAGGAAGAAAAAAAACAGAGATCCGAGGAGACAGTTCAATGGGCTGGAGACATGTTTTACCCACAAGAGCCCCAGGTTCACCCCTCTAAACCACATGGTCACCAGAGCCGTGCCCAGAGCACTCTGTGAGCACTAAGTAAGGAGGAGTAGCTCAAGGAGATCAGAGACAAGGCAGGCTGGCCTATTAGCCACACCCACCGGGGTCAGCAAATGTGACCAATGACCAAGGGAAACCAAGAACACAGCTATCCACAACCGCTGACAAGCAGCGGACACTGATGGGGTGACACCAATTGCAAAGACCCAGAGTATGTTCATGCGAGTCATCTCAAACCCAGGACAGTCTCTTGCCTGCTGTCTAAAGGGGCGGCTCTCCTCTGCCCTGTTCTTTCTGGGATGGAGGTACAGGAAGTGAGGAGAGTAGGAGACAGGAATAGGAGAAAAACAACGGCTGTCTGCAGACCAATTCCAGATGCTCATCATACACAGAGGGGCCGGCCGGAGAGACTGCACAGTGGGTAGGGACTTGCCTTGCAAGTGGCAGGTCCCAGTTCTATCCCCAACATAGCATACAGTCCCTAAGCACTGCCAAGAGTGGTCCCTGAGCACAGAGCCAGGAGGAAATCCTGAGTGCTTTAGGGTTAGTCCCAAACCACCAAAATAAAGTAACAAAACAAATGCAGAATAAACTGCCATAGGAAGTGAGAAGTTCCCAGTTTCGGGCGTTCTAATCAAGGATTGGCTGGGAACCAGAGAGATAGTACACAGGGTAAGGTACCTGTTTGAAAGAGTCCCACACCATATATGGAACTCCCCGAGCCCTGTGTAGCCAGCTGTGGCCCAACCTTACCACCCCCCAAAACCAAAAAAGAAAAAGAAAGAAAATCCAGCACAGTCTGTAAGAGGCTGTGAGAAGGCATCAAAGATAAAATGAGGGTGAGATCGAATCTTCAGCTGATAGTGGGCGTCGTTTGTGTAGGAACTCTCCTACCTGTATTCCTTCTTTTGCACCTGGTGTAAAATTTTAGATCTTTAGAAGCGTTTATTGGAATACCTGCTAAAGGGTTCATGGCTCCCAAAAGTCAGAGTCAAAGTCGTGGGGAAAAGGTCCACTGGTCCTCAGATAATGGGTCTTTCTTTTTGGCGGGGAGTGCTTTGCTTTTTGGGTCACAGCTGCAATGCACAGGGTTACTCCTGGCTCTGCACTCAGGAATTACTTCTGGTGGTGTTCGGCGGACCATATGGGATGTTGGGAATCAAACCCGGGTTGGCCATGTGCTATTGCTCCAGCCCAGATAAGGGGTTTTGCCTTACCAGGAAGATTCTAGAGAGTGGGGGCAGAGGGCCAGGCCTGGGTGGAAAAGGAAGTCCTCATGGAGAGATGAGATTGCAGCAAGGGGAGCCGCTGGCAGGACTTGGGAGCATGACATTGTGAAGAGGGAACCAGCAGGGCGATGGCTGGACTGTGGATCCGGTTACCTGACCATCTGGCTCTCTCCCTCTCTCAGCCTCAGTTTTCCTGCTTTCATTTCTCCGGGTTTTGATATTTTAGGAGTCACACCCAGTGGTGTTAGGCAGTTGCTCGGGGGAGTAGCTGGGACCTGGTGGTGCCGATGGCCCTATAAAGCCATGTTTCCTCCCCAGTGTGCCTTCTGTATGAGCTAAGACCCTGAGGCCTCACAGAAGGTTCTGGATCAACTCCATGTCAAAGCAGTTAGTGCCCAGAAATAACCAATGCCCACAGTTCAGGGTGGGGGAGGCATGCAGATACTGGGGGGACTTCCTTAACAGTCATTACCTCTTGGGTGCCTTTATGGACACGGGGCCTTGAGCCACAGATATGTGCGCAGTCTTCTTTTTCTTTTTTGGGGAAAAATTTGGGGCCCATCCAGCAGTACTCAGGGATCACTCCTGACTCTGTGCTTAGAAATAACGCCCAGCAGTGCTCAGGAAACTATGTATGAAGCCGAGGATGGAACCCCAGTCGACTGGATATAAGGCAAGTGCCCTACTAGCTGTATGACCTTCTCGATTGTGGGACCCAGATGGAGAAGCATGAGACCCAGGGGTGAGGGGTGGGGGATAGAGAGTGGAAATGATGCTGGGAACTGACGCAGGAGAAACAGGAGAGTAGAGAGACAGAGGAAAGGGGGTCCCTGAGGGGTGCAAAGGTACAACACAAGAAGTGTGGTGACCCCCCCCCAAGAACGCGGGTCAGGAAGGGTATCTAAGAGGGAAATAAGCTCCCGGCTGGCACATGCGTCCCAAACCCCAGGCTCCCCACCCAGGTCACCTACCTCAGTGGCAAAGTAGCCTTTGGGCCGGTGCTTGCCCAGGGATGCCAGGCCTCCAGGCCCAGGGCCCTCGCTGGCACTGATGGTCTGCTGGGCGGCCGCCAAAATCTCATCGAGCTTATCTGGGGAAGTCGGGGGAAAAAATAAAATTCACTGATGTTGGGGACAGAGACCACACAGCCAGGCACTGGCCGCAGTCTGACACCCTACTTCTATCCCTGTGCCCAAGACACGGCCTGCGCGAGGGAATTGACGTGACAGCGGGAGGGAGTCGGGGGGCATCTTACTGAGTGCCATCTGGTACACGGTCCGCTTTTTCTCCATGCTGGGCACAGGCGGCGGCGGCGGCTGCTGCTCGTACTCTGTGGGCAAAGGACTGGCTTGAAGCCCAAGGGCGCTCCTGGGAGCAGGGGTCCAGCGGGGCATGGCCTTTGGCCCAGTGGGCGTGGCCTTTGACCCAGTGGGCGTGGCCTGCGGGTATGCGCAGGTGCGAATGGGACAGTGAGGTGTCCAGGGTCGGTCGGGGAGGGACCAGGCCGCCCGGCGGGGGGCGGGGGGCGGGACGGGGTTGGGGGGGTCCCTCCCGCCAGTCCTGTGCCCACTCACCACTCTTCTTCTTCCAGGGGGAGACTAGCCCGGGGGAGAGGCAGTAGAGGAGCCAAGAGTTAGGACTTCAGGGGGAGGCCAGGGACCCCCTCTCTGGGATGCCCACTTCTCCCGGGGCCCGTGGGGGGCAAACGAACTAGCTGCCCCTGGGGGCTGCAGCCAGACGCCCGGCCCCACCAGTCCCTGTCTGGAGAGGGGCTGCCTTCCTTCCTGGTGGGGCTGAGGCAGTGCCCCTGCGGGGGGCAGGGGCACTCGGGCAGGGACTGGCAGGGGAGCGAGTAGAGTGGCCAAGAGGGGACACAGAGCCCAGCAGTGCCCGACAGAGAACACAGGACAGAAAAGAGGCCAGCTCCCAGACATCCCTTCCCAGCGACGACACACACACAGGTCAGTGCGCCTGACGGGACTGGGGCGACAGCAGGAGGACGAGGACCCTGGCCACTAACGACACTAACAGACTCAAGGGTGGACAGCCCCTCTGCCCCTCTCCCTCCACAGCCCCACCACCCTGGCTCACCCATCTCCTCCAGCTCTGAGGTCATAGACTTGGAACGCAGGGAGATGGCTGGGGGCGGGAGTCGCTTAGCCTGCTGGGTTGCTGAAAAGGTGTCGGTGGGGGGGTCAGGCCCTGGGTCCTGAGGGGGGGACCCAGGGCTCCTCCCCCACCGCCCAGCTCCCAGATGGCGGAAATCAGCCGCCACCAGCTGGCTGAGCCCTCCGTGCCTCAGTTTCTCCCCAGAAGGGCCCTGAAGGAGCAGCTTCCAGGAGGGGCAAGGTGGGCGGCAATGGGGACTGGCCATCACTGGGGCTCCTGGGGGGATGGGGGGCTCAGGTCGCAGTGGTGGGGTGGGGGTGGGGGTGTGCACCTTTCTTGTGGGCCGCCTCGTCCATATCGGGGTGGCGGGTCACCATCACCACCTTGACCATCAGTGTGTTCCCGCCTTGCCGGATCATATTCACCACCTGCCGGTGGCCCACCTTCACCACGTTCTGGCCATTCACCTGCAGCACAGACCCCCCCGACCACAGCGAGGGGTGCTCTCAGCGCCAATGCCTCACCCTGGCCTCCCACTGCTCTCCCCTCCCTCCTGCCCCCCACAGCCTGTGTGTGTATGGGGGAGTGCAGCTCCAGATCATCTTTTGGAGGGCTGTGCCTTGTTCAGGGACCCCAAGGCCATGCCACCAGTGATCAGGGGCCAGGGGATGCAGGGACGCAAACCCACTCAACTATTGCTATGCTATCTCCCAGCTTCTGGGCTCTTGTTTAGGGGGGCCTCCCCAGCAGTGCTCTGGCCTCACTCCTGGCTCTGTGCTCAGGAGTCACCCCACGTAGGGCTTGGGGAAAGGACTCTTATGGGGTGACAGGAATTAAGCAGGGTTGGCTGCCGCAAGGCAAGCGCCCTCCCTACTGCCCTATCAGTCTGGTCCTCAGGAGTCATCTCTGGAGGTGCTTCAGAAAGGCAGAAAGCTCGAACCCGGCTGGGGTCGAGGGATGGGGGTCCTGAGGGCCGGGCAGGCGTGGGGGGGGCGCTCACCTCGATGAGGAAGTCCCCCATCCGCAGACCCGCGCGCCACGCCACACCGCCCTCGTCCACCGACTCCAGGTACTGCAGCGCGGGGAAGGCCGGCGTCGGGGTGAACTCCTCGATGGGGGTCTGCGCTGCAGATGGGGAGGAGCCGGCGGGGCCAGGGGTGGGGGGAGAGGCCGAGCAGGGGATGGGGCTCAGACCCAAGTCACGGAGGGCCCAGCACCCCGGGGTCAGTTTCTCCTCCTGCCCGTCCCAGTCAGCACTCACCCTTGGCCCCCCGCAGCACGAAGCCGAACCCCTCACTGTCTTTCTTCTGCAGCAGCACTGTCTTCTCCTTGATGATGTAATCGCTGGAGGGAGGGTCGACCATGAGGCCCCGGACCCCCAAACCCTCACACCTATTCTGGCGCGCCCATATCTGCTCAAGCCAGCCGAGGAAAGCCACCTGCTCACTCATTGCTCCTCTGTCCCTCTGTCCTTCCATGTCCATCCATTCAGCCATTCATTTATCAGGCCACCACCAAGCCTGGGTGTCCTCCCAGGACACAGGGTTCTAGGCGGGCAGGGGTGCTGGCAGCTCTGTGGCAGCTCTCCGGAACAGGGCAGGCACCCCCAACAGCCATTTCCTGTCTGTGACCTTGAGCCCACCCTCCTCCCCCCACTGTTCCCACCTTTGGGGCCTCAGTTTCCTCCTTATAAGGGGGAGTCATTGCAAGCTTCCCTGAAGCAGATGGGGTTCAGAATGGCACCAGGCACGGAATGTGCCTTCTCTCAGACACCTGTGCTGTCTTGGGCCCAGGAATTAAATCATAAAGACGCGGAAATGTGGGGGGAGGGGTCACAGAGACAGAACAGCAGGTGGGGTGCTTGCCTGGCACATGTCTGACCCAGGTTTAAGCCTCAGCACTGCACAGGGGGCTCGGAGCCTGCTAGGAGTAACTCCTGAGCAGAGCGAGATGTGGCAAAGAAGGAAGGAAGGGAGGAAAGGAAGAAGAGAGGCTCCGGATGCAGGGCAGGCTGAGACACATCCAGGGCAACCTGCTGAAGTGGGGCGGGTGGGCCCCACCCCAACAGAAGCCCGGCAGCCAAAAACCTCCAGACCCCAATTGTGCCATACTCATGGCTAATCTCCACAGGCTCAGATGAGCCTCATCCATCAGAATGAAAAACCCAGGTATGCGGCTTTTGTGATGAAAATCTCCAGGGTCTCACGGACCTCACCCCATCTCCCTGATCTTCCAGGAGCCTGTCCGTCATGCCCCTGAACTGACTCTGGTGCCCTATAAGCTCTTTTTGTTTTGTTTTGTTTTTTGTTTTTGGGTCACACCCGGCAATGCACAGGGGCTACTCCTGGTTCATGCACTCAGGAATTACTCCTGGCGGTGCTCGGGGGACCATATGGGATGTTGGGAATCAACCCTGATCGGCTGCATGCAAGACAAACGCCGTACCCACTGTGCTATCGCTCCAGCCCCCCTATAGGCTCTTAATGGCCATGATCCACGGATTCATAAATAAACCTCAGAAGAGAGCCATCAGCTGCAGAGAAGCCTCCAGACACAAAGTCACCTCCAGTTGTGTCACTCTATCTAAAATTTTAGAATTCCTGGAGCCCATAGCCACATTCGCCATCACGCAACATCTACTCTACTCCACTGATGTACCAAGAGTAGCACACCACATCTGATGAGGTGTAAGGCAGAAGGCTACTGCACTCGATAAAGAAAAAAATACCAGTACATAAGGCTCAACCTGTAACCACGTGTAGTAATCTCTGATAGCAGGGCTTAATGGTTTCAGGGTGAGGTATAATAACCTTCACGCACTTTCCTCTAAGGGAACTTTCTTGGATTATTTTTAGCGGATTTTTCATAGTGAGCAATACAAAATAAATTATTTAGGACCGCTTTGGGGGCAGGCAAATTTGAATTAATGGTCGTGGGATGGTGTAATCATGGCAGGATTTGTGTTGGAATATTGAATGTAATAAATTATTGTGAACAACTGTAAAAATAAAGTAAAATTTAAAAAAGGAAGAAAAGGGAAAGGGAGGAAAAAAAGACAGAAAGGAGGAAGGGAAGGAAGGAAAGAAGGAAGGAAAGGAAGAAGGAAGAAAGAAAAAAGAGAGAAAGAAGAGAAAAATAAAGAGAAAGAAGGAAAGAAAAAAGGAGAAAGGAAAGGAGGAGGGAAAGCAAGGAGATAAAAGACAGAAAGAATTGGCAGAAGGAAGGAAGGGAAGAAGAAAGGAAGAAAGGAGAAAGAAAGGAAGAAAGAAAAAAGAGGAAGGGGAAAAGAGAAAAAGAGAGAAAAAAGGAAGGAAAGAAAGAAAAATGAAGGAAAGAGGGAGGGAAGAAGGAGGAAAAGGAAGGAGAGAGAAAAGACATTAAGGAAAGGAAGAAAGGAAGGGAAAAAAGAGAAAGAAAGGGAAGGAAAAAAACAAAAGGAAGAAAGACAGACTTGTGCCCCAAATCCCTTTCCTTTATCTGCACTGCGGCCACAGGTCCCCGTGGCACAGACCACAGGGGGGCACTAGCAGCAGGTGAAGAGCCACCAAATGAAGACTCACCAGTGCCCCGCACCTGGGGCCAGAGGAGAGGCCACTGAAGGCCCCTCCTTCCCACCGTCACACTCAGTCCCAAGAACTGGCTCCATCAGCTCAAACGCGCCTGCTCAAACCACAGCACCCCTAAGCATCTTGGGGTCACACAGTGCCCAGGAGCTGGCACGGTCGCCAACCGCCCATGTCCGGCCCCATCCCTCAGACCAGCACAGAGGCCACAGGCAGCAGAGCAAACACACGGTGCCCCCACCCGGTGATCCCCAGGCCCCAATGCTCCAATCAGCCTAGCTTCCTCCCGCACCTCCTTACCTGCCCCCACACACAACAGTGCTCTCTGAATACTCCAGTATATTTCAGTGAAACCCCCCCCACCCCAGTATGCGCCAATAATAACTCCCCCACACTCTGATCTCAGTTATTCCCATAACCCGCCCCCGCCTACAGCCCCGACACACACCAGTAATACCTCCTGTGCACCTGCTGCACTGGGGCACCCCCCACTGACACCTCCATGGCTCCCGTGACCCCTCCCCCGACTTCCACTGTCTCTCCCGCACACCTGGGTGTCGCAAAGCTCTGCAGGCGACGCCCCTGCCTTCCCCAGTCAGGGGCCCTGCGGGTACTCAATCCCACACACAGCCCGGGAACCACCCAGGGGAACCTCAGTTCATCACGGTCCAGGAAAGATGCCCGATCCCACCTGGCTCACTCATCTCCGCTCTGTGGCCAGGCTGGTAGAGAAGGGGTAGTGGGTGGGGCACAAAAAGCCTGGAAGGGTGAGCGGGAGAGGTGGGCGTGCAAATGGCTGCAGCCGCTCTGGGACACCCCGTCCTCCACACCCACCCTGACAGTCCCCACAAGCACTCCCTGATCCCCAGGCCACACACTGCGGCCAGGTCCTCCCCTGTACCCAAGCTGGGTCATTCTCCCTGGCCCTCCCTGTCTCTCTGAGCTCCATGAGCTCAGCCTGCACCAGGCACTTGAAGCCCCTCTCTGGATGCCCAGCAAACCCCGCAGAGAACCCAAAACATTGTGGGGTTCGGTGTCCCCTTCTCCAGCAATGCCCCAGAACATACTGGGAAGAGGGGGAACGGTGTCCCCACATGCCACATCCCTCAGCCTCCCGCCAGCATGAGCCTCCCCTTCGAGAACCACGTGGCTCCATGCCAGCACCTCCATCCACAGGCTCACTCGGCCCTCATAGCACACCCATCCTACAGGGGAGGCTGAGAACTACGGGGCTCTGGGGCAGCGCGAAGGACCAGAGCCAAGAGGGACATTCTGCAGACACCCCAGGAATTCCAAACCGCCCCAAACTCTGCTTGTCTTTTCTGTTACTATTTCATCAGCCTGGCAGGGCCAAAGGCTGACTCCTGACTCTGTGCTCAGAGATCACTCCTGGTGGGGCTGGGGACCATCTATGGTCCTGGGGATGGAGGTGTTCTGTCTCTCTGGCCCCCACCACTCTGCTTGAACTCCCCAAGTGCTCTCCTGCCTCACAATCCCTCCGCCTGTACCCCCACTCCTGCTGGTCTGCCTGCACCAAGTTGCCATTTTCAGGGGTTCTGAAAGTTCCACGCAGCCCTAACCCAACCCACCCCGTGAGAACCCTCCTGCACCCACTGCCCTTTCCCGAAGTTTCCTCCTGGACTCCTGCAGCATCTTGGCCGCTGACCACCCCCCATCCCTGCCCTGCTCCCCACTTTGCCTCCTCAGCTCTCCTGTCCCCCCATGCCCTTCTGCAGTCTTTCTGGATGGCATTTGCTTCTGGTCTCAGCGTGCTCCCTCTGTGAGCCCACATCCCCTCCCCAAAATCCTCCTCCGCATCCCCACTTCTGTTCCCCCAGCCCACCCTAGGTCCCAGGTTCCATTCTGTTCCCGCCACCCTCCCACCGGAACCCCTCGGGGCCCCCTCCCAGTCACTGCCCACGGAGCCAGGGGTGCCCCATTCAGACCTGAGCAGGCAGGGACACACACAATTCACTTGCTTCCCAGGCTCCGGGGACCTGGCCAGCTCGGGACTGGCTCTGGTCCCCTGGACTTCCCCATGCAGAAACCACTTGGCTGTCATTTCTCCACCTCACACCCCCCTCAGAGCCACTGCTGTGCGCATGCTGCCCCCCAGACTCTGCTACTCCCCTCATGCCGAAGCAACCCCCGCTTCTGCAGCGGACACAAGCAGGGCAGTTCAAAGCGAGGCAAGGGCACAGACCTAGGAGCGGGGACAGGAACAGGAGGCAGGGGGGCAGGCAGAGGGGGGCGGGGGGGGGCAGGCTCAGGAAGGGGGTGTGTAGGGGAGGGGTGTGGGACACAGCCGCAGTCCGCGGCAGACCCTTCCAACACATACACAGTCTCACGTTGGCACACACAGTCTGACACGGTGTCAGTCAACACACGCACAGGACCACACACGGTCCTCGGGCAGCCTCGGTCTCGCTGCAAGCCTTACACAGAGACAAACGCCACCAAACCGAGCCACACAGGCACGGGTGGGGCGGGGGTGAGCCGGGGGTCCTCCTGGCCGCCCTGGCCCCGGTGCGCACACACACATACACACGCGCGCGCGCGCGCACGCACGCACCCAGGCGAGCGGCTGCGGGCCCACGGACACGCTCGGGGACACGCAGCGGAAAAAGAGGAACGCAGGGGAGGCCTGGCGCGCGCGCGTGCGGCGGGGAACGGGAGAGGGGCAAGGAGGGGGACTCGCCAACTCCGCGCAGGGGCGAGGGGAGGCCTGGGGTACCGGCGCGCCCCCAGGCCCTGGGCTGCGGGGTGGGGGCTCTCGGGCTCGACGGGGGCAGCAGGTCTTGGCGCGGGGGCCCTCGGAGGGTCCGCGAGGGGCTTGGAGCTCGGACTGCTGGGCTGGGAAGTGCGTGTGCGTGCTGGGTGGGGGTGGGGGGCCGGAGGCTGGGGGAGCTCGCGGCGCCCAAGCCGAGGGGGCGGCGCGCTGCGTTACCTGTAGATGTACCAGACGCTGCGCCGCCGGGGCCCGAGCGCCGGCCAGCTGGAGGAGAGCGCGGGGGGCGGCTGCGGCAGGGAGCCCCCCCTGGGGCCGCCGCCGCCGAGCGCAGACAAAGCCATCGCCGCCGCGGCCCCGGGCCCGGCCCCGCGCCCGCAGCCGGCCGCCCCCGCCGCCGCCGCCGCCGCCGCGTCCCCGTCCCCGTCCCCGCTCGGCCGAACCCCCGTGTCCGGGCCCCCAGGCCCCGCCTCATGCTGACCCGCGCCGGGAGGGGGGCGGGGAGGGGGCGCGCACCCCCCCGCGGGAGGGCGGGCAGGGCCGGGGGCTCACATGCCGGGGGGTCCGGCGGCCGCGGGAGCGCGAGCACCGCGCACGGCGCCGGCTGCAGAGCCACCGACAGCTCCGGCCCGCAGCCCTCGGCGTCCTGCGCGGGGCGGGCGAGGGGAGCGCGGGGCCCCCTGGGCGGCAGCGGGGGGAGGGGCGAGCGGGGGGAGGCGAGGGGGGCACTTCCGGTCCGGCCCCCGCCCCCTCCCCCTCCCCCCGCGGCCGCCGCCGCTGCCGGCCCGCGCAGGTGCAGAGCGACGGAAAGCGCGCGGGGGACCGGCCGGAGCGCGCCGGAGGCGTCGCGGGCCGCGTGCAGGGACGCGCGCCCCCGACCCCACGCTCGGAGAGCACAGGCCCTGCAGTGGGCACGGACCGCCCCCCACGCCAACAGATTACACACGCACCCCAGCACCGTCCGGGAAGGCCATCGCGGTCTCGGGCTTCTGGCCGCGACATCCCCCTTCCCCCCAATTCAGGCGGAGGGACAGACAGCACCACGGCTGCGGGGGTCAGATGCCCCCCAGACGCCCCCATACAACACGGAGAGAGGAGAGAGGAACGCAGGGGCACAGCCGGGTTCAGGCCACCAGCCACGAGCACGCGGGGTCCAAGGAGAAGGGCGGCAGGGGGGTCGGGTGCGGAGCGCGCACATGCCGGCGGACAGGGGTGCAGGCGGACGGGGATGCAGACACTTCTGACGAGACAGCTGGGGGGTCTTGCAGGGGGAAGAGGGACCGCCCCCCCCATCCCGCCGGGAGTGCCAGTGGCCCCAACAGACACTGATGCTTACAAGCAGGGACTGAGGGTGTGGGGGGGGTGCCGGGAGGAGGGCCACCTTCCCCCATACTCACCGGGTGCCCAGAGCCGGAGAACTCGCACAACGGTCAAACGCCCAGACGCTCGGGGCGCCGATGGCACCCCAGCCCCACACACCCTCTCCCCATGTTGTCAATCCTCTCCCCAGCCCACCGCCAGCCCTGACCCACCCGTCCCCCCCGGCCAGAACACAGACGCGTGGTTTGGACACATTTAATGCAAGGGGGCTGCGAGCTGGGGCCCCTTCCCCGACCCGCACGGGGCGCACGGGGGATCGGAAGGGCTGCATCCTTCAAACGCCCGATCAGGGCTCGCCCCTCCCCCTCCTGCCCCTGACCTTGCTCTCCTGGAACCCCCCACGCCACCCCCCACCGACAGGTGCCGAATCACAAAGCAGCCGGAGAGATGCGAAAACGCGACATTCGAGTTCAAGTTGGGCAGAGTGACATGCACGGGGCGGCGCGGCGGCGTCCACCAGCCTGTGGGGGGCCCCCCCGCGGACCTCGCGGGGAGCCCCGCCTTGCCGCTCGGACAGCGGGCGGACGGACGCCGCGGAGCAGGCTCGTGCACGACCGCCAGCATGCACCCCCGGAGCCCAGCGCCAGCCACAATGCACCCCCTCTTCCGAGCAGGATCCGCGGGACCGTACATCCCGCCCCCCCTCAACACACAGACACGCATAAGCTCACAGACAGAGGTCATGCACCCCCACGGGAAAACAAGGACAAGGGCGCCCGCGCGGAGTCGGTCCAGGCACGGCGGCCGGCCGGGGTGAGGCCATGCACCGGGGTCGTGCACCGGGTCACCCCGCCCCGCCTGCGGCACCCCCTTTCCGCCCCTTCCTGGCTCCGCCCAGCTCACCTCCCCGAACCAATCCCATCCATCAAACTTCCGAAGCAAATCAGCGAGCAGCCCGGGAGGGGAGAGGCGTCAGCGCGCCCCTCCGCCCGCCCCCCCCTCCCGCGAGGGACAGACGCGGGAGGCGACGCCGCGCATCTCCGGCACGGGCTGGACGGGTCTGCACGCCCCCGCGCCCCCGGGCCCCGCGCCCCCCGGCCCTCCCCTCCAGCTGCCTAGTCCAGGCTGCAGAGACCAGCCTGGCGGGGCGGGGCGCGCGCATTTGGGGCTCACTCTGCTCCCTGTCGCCCACCCCCACCCCCCGGCCCAAATGAGAAGGAAGAAACCGAGGCACACGGGGCTGGACAGGGGTAGAAATATCGACCGGAAAGGTGAACTGCGCTGGAAGGCTGGGGTGCAAGGACGGGTATTTACCTTGGGGCGTCAAAGCTATCGTAGGAGCCCACGGTGTAATGCCGGAAGAGTCGCTTGGCCTTGTCGCTGCGGCTTTCTGTGGGGGGACAAGGGTCCGTCGGGGGCTCCTCCTCTGGAACTCCACCTCAGTCAGGCGGGAGGGACCCCAGACGGCGCCCCGTTACCTTGCTTTCCCTCCTGAGAGCGGTTGGCGACCTCTTCCAGGCACTCCGAGGGGAACCAGCCAACACGACCTTTGACCTGGCCTTCCCAGAAACCTCCTTCCCCGATACTAAGCACTGGGGGGGGGGTGGACAGGCAGAGAGGAACTTTCATTTGTGCGGGCTCCTGAAGCTCCCCACCCCATCCCAGCCAATGCAGCACCGGGGCGTGGGGGCCCCCCTGCCTCTGGGTACCAGCCAAGTCCCGTCACTCCTGCACTCTAACTCCTCAGAGTCCTAGGCATGGCCCTACCCCAGCTGAGGTCACACTGATCCTGCCTCCTGGCCCATGGCTTCCCCCACCACCTCCCAACTCTCACTGAACCCCGCCCCTCCCCGCCCCCCAGCACTCTGCCTCCTTCACTTTCCCAATTCCAGATGGGAAGTTTGTCCCCTCTTTCCCTTTCCTGCCACAAGGGAAGTAAGGGGAACCCTTTCCCCCACCACTTAGTCATGGGAGGGGGGAACACAAGAGACAGAGTGACTAGGGGATGTTCCCCAGCCCTCACTGCAGATCAGGACCCTTGAGGGCACTCCGTGGTGCCCCCCCTTAGTGGAGAAACTGAGGCTGGCAGAGCTGAGCGGCATCTGCCCACGGATCCCAACCCCACCAGGATCTGAACACAGGAAGCTGTGGGGCGCAGGCATTCTGTCCCTGGGGGAGGGGTTCTTTATTTGGGAGAAAGGTGGGACCACACCTGCAGTGCTAAGGCTTACTCCGCCCTCCCCCCCCTCCCCCCGTGCTCAGGAGTGACCCCTAATGGTGTCCGAGGTGGTACTGCAGACAACATTGCCACTGACCAGTCCCTCGACTCCCCAGCACTATGGCCTCATGGCGCTGTCCTAGCACAGAGACATGCTGCCTCTGAGTGACCACATGAGTGGTCACACTGTCATCCATCTCGCTCGCAGCTCTGTCCCCACACTCGGTCCTCACTGCCCTCCCCCTCACTTCCCAAGGGACTCCTCCTTGTCTAGACAGAGGGCGGCAGTCAAGCCCCACTCAGGTTGGCATGGGGGTCATCTGATGCTGTCTGATGTAGGCCACCCCCTCAAGGGATCTGGGGGACAGAATCAGGGGGATCTGTGGTCACGGAGGGATATTTGACTGCCACTGTGACCCCTGGCTGTGTGGTCTTGGGAGTCAATCATTTGTTCCCTAGACATCTGGCACAGACAGAACTAGAAAGCAGGTGCCCCCACTCTGACAATGCAGTCAGCTCACAGAGCTGCTGGGCACAGCTACTCAGCCACTTGGGGCCACAAAAATCTCGGGAGGGAACTGGGCTCCCCAAGGGAAAATGTTGACTCAGGGGCGGTGCTGCTTCTGCAGAGAGGACGGAAGTGGGTGTTGGAGGGGCAGAGAGCAAGCTGGGGTCCCTAGGATCCTGCGGGTGAAGGAGAAGGGCATGATGAGAGGTGGGGAGGGAATCCTTGGGGTTGCCTTGCACCCCAGGCTGGTGCACTGGGCTTCCCAGAGCACCACTTGGAAAGTAGGCGCCTGAGTGCCGCCACTCGGAGGTTCTGAATGAAGGGGCCGGGAAATCCCTCCCTATTGCAAGCGTGAGGGGGTGCAGTCGTGGCTCTGCCTGCGCCCAAGACACCCCTGAACCCCACTCTCTGCTTCCATTTCTCTTCTGCACTCCCCACTCCACCAGGTCAATCTCTCCTGCCTGTCTCTGTCCCTGCCTGTCTCTTTACTTGTCTCTGGTTCCCTCTCTTTCTCCTCTCTTCTTCCTCCCCTATCCTTCTCTCTTTTTCTGTCTCTCTCTCTCTCCCTCCCCACTTTCTCTCTCCCTCTCTGTCTCTCTCTATCTCTCCCTCTTCCCATCCCAGCCCCCAGGGCTGAGCGGACCTGCCTGTATTTATTCATTGATTCACTCTCAGCAGCTGCTCACTGGGGCTGTCAGCATCCTAGGTCACTAACCGGGCCCTGGGAATACAGATACCCCTGACACAGAACCATCTTCAGAAACTCTGGGTGACAGCCTGCATAGGAGATGCAGCTGCGCCCCCTGCCGCTCCCATCCCACACACTGAGGGGGAAACACTCCTGAGGGGGTGAAGGGGGAGCTCTCTTCCCCCTCCCCCAGGGCTCTGGGAACTGGACCTTGGAGCTGGAGGAGGCACGAGCCATCCTGGGAGAAGAAACTGAGGCCCAGAAGGCCCTGGCCTGAGACTTCCCAGTTAGGGATCCCGCAGACTGCTCCTGACCCAAAGACCCCTTGCTGGTCCCCCACCCACCCTGTCCACCTGTGAAGACCCCCTGCCTAAAGCGCCCCTCTCTGTTCCAGGTTCTGAATGTGGGGGCCCTTGGGGTCCTTCTGGGAGGTTCCGGAGAACCAGACAGGTGGACCCCAACAACAGCAGGCCTGGGACCCTGCCCCTCACCCTGAAGATGAGGAACAGGCAACTGGACCTCGTGGGCAGGAGGATATGGAGGAAACCACTTACTGGCCTATTGATCAGTGGAGTAAGATTAGAATAGGGAGCTCCCCCCACCCCGCTGCTGTGACCCTGGGCACCCCACTTCACTGCCTGCTCCTTGGCCAGTGCTGGGTCCCTGGGGGCGGGGTCCCTACTGGCCCACGCATGGCACACCATTACCTTTGATTTTCTCGCCTTTGCTCAGGGAAATCTCGCCCTCGCCTTGGGCCTGGTACGACTTCACTGCCATGAACGAGCGCCCGGGAACAGCTGAGTAGAGCTTGCGGCGTCTCCCACGGCTTCCCAGGGAGCCCCCAGGGCCCCCTGAGCTGCCGGTGCCCCCCGCGGGCCCTTCCCGCGGAGTCCCACTGGAGCTGCATCAGACACAGAGGGTGGGGGTGTCAGGGGCAGGGGGGCACCCCTGGGAGAAGGGGCTCCGTAGAGGAACAGGAAGCAGGGGTTCAGGGTGGCCTGGTTCAAGCTCTAGTGGGGGGGGAGAGGGCACTTGGGGCTCCCCATGCCGCCTCCCTCCACTGCGCCTGCCTTCCAGCTCTGCCCCCCACCCACGGCCGAGCCCAGACTGATTCAGCTTCCTGGAGCCCGATTGTGTCATTCCCAGCACCCGCACGAGCCCGCCGCGGCTGCCTTCCTCCTGGGCCCCGGCCAGCTGCCCATTCGCAGCCCGGCAAGCGTTCCCAGCCTCCCACTCCTCACGACGTGAGCCGGGGCTGCTGTGCCGCCCCCCACCCAGCCAGGCCGGCCTCTCGGCCCCCACCCCTCCCCATCCCCGAACCCACTCTCCAGGAGTCGGTGCTCCTGCCCAGAGACCCCCCCACCCCCTCACTCCTGCTCTCCTTCCCTCTCGCCCCCGTCTTCCTGTCTGTCCGCAGTGGACAGGCCGCCATTTGCCATTTCTTGCTTTCTGAGTTTTGAGCCACAGCCGGCAGTGCTCAGGGGCTTACTCCTGGCTCTGCGCCCAGAAATCACTCCTGGAACGGTTTGGGGGACACTATGGGGTGCCAGGGCCAGCCATGTGCCAGGCCAGCACCCTCCCTGCCATGTATTTTTCTGGGCCAGGCTTTCTTTTTGGCCCCCTGCTGAGGCCAGGCCTGTGGCCAAGACCCTCACTGCTGGGGGTCAGGGTTAAGACCACGATGACGCCCGTCTCCGGGCTGAAGGGATTGGAGACCCCAGGAGGACGCCAGGACCTGAGCTGCCACAGGACGGGGTGTGGGGGGCCACAAGCGGGTCCTCGGGGTGCAGAGGCCCAGGGCTGAGCTGACCCCTACCTGGGCCGTCCCCGGGGCTGCCTCTTGGTCTCTTCAGGGTGCCTCCCGCGCGACGGGGAGCGTGCACGGGCACCCCGGGGGCTGCTCGCACTTCGGAGGGTGCCACTGCTGAGCTTGGTGCTGGGAGCCGAGGGCTGTGACGGGCCTGAGGGACCCGAGGTGGGGCCAGGGGCCCCCGAAGATGGAACTCCAGGGGCGGCAAACACCATCCAGTCAGGCAGCGCCATGCTGGTGTCACTGTTGGCCCGCATCAGTGCAGGGGGCACGGTCAGCCCTGCTCCCGGGGGGCCCCGACGCCGGGCAGCGTACTTCGGGGACTCCTGGAAGGGCACTGAGAGGGCATGGTGGGGGGATGGTACAAAAAAAGGGGGAGATGAGCAGAGTGGGGGCCTGAAGCTATGCCAGGGTTCCAACATCCCCCAAGTCCGTGCTCAGTTACCCCCCTGTGGCCCCAGCTCCCCCCATTGGGCTCAGCCCTCTGCCCAGCTCACCCACATCCTGTTCACGATGGTTTCGAATCAGCTCCCCCAGTTCAAAATTCCCAGCAATCACTGCCACCTGGGGGGTAGGGGTCCCCCAGAGAGAAGAGGCAGGAAGTCCAATGAGCACCCCTCAACTCAGCTGGCACGCCCGCCCCCACCAGCACCATCCTCACCCCTTCTGTATCCCTGAGCCCCACAGCTCCGTACCTGGAATGGCGTCTGCCCGTTGTTGTTCTTCACGTCCTTGCTGGCCCCCCGATAGAGGAGGACACGGGCACAGGTCTCCTGGCGGGAGAGAGGAAAGAGCAAGTGAGGTGGCCTCAGGGCTCAGGGTCACCTCCCAGGGCCGGGATCCGGAGAGACAGACTCAGCTATGTTCTGGGGGCCAACCTCACTGACTTGGTATGAAGGGATGCCCCTGAGACCCGTCTAGTGGTGTCACATTGTTAGCGACTACAAATTTAAGGGATTGGTTCGGATCTGGGTGTTCAATAAAAAGATGTTAAGATGAAAATCATCTGTGGGGCTGGAGCGGGTAGGACGTTTGCCTTGCACGCAGCCAACCCAGGTTCAATTCCCAGCATCCCATATGGTTCCCTGAGCACCGCCAGGGGTAATTCCTGAGTGCAGAGCCAGGAGTAACCCCTGTGCATAGCCGGGTGTGACCCAAAAAGCAAAAAATTAAAAAAAGTCATCTGCTTCTCTCTTTGGGGGTGTGTGTGTGGGGTGGGTATCACACCTGGCAGGCACTCAAGTCCTGTCCATATGCTCAGGAGTGACCCCTAGTGGTGCCCAGGGACTCCCACACAGTGGTGAATCTAACCAGGGTCAACAGGATGCAAAGAAAGCACCTGAACTGCTGTCCTATCTCGTGGGCCCTAGCCTACTCTTTCCTTTTTTGGGGGGTGGGGCTCAGGGTTCATTCATGCAGTGGGGCTCATTCTTGGTTCTGTACTTAGGGACCTACTGTGTGCTGTGGATTGAACCCAGGTTGGCAAAGTGTGAGTGCCCTCCCAACTGTCTCCCTCTCCCTTTCCCACTCTGCTATCACTCCAGCTCCCCCTTTTTTCATGCATTACACCTGGCAGTGATGGAGTAGAATCCCGGGACCTCGGGGTTGGAGAGATAGTAAAGAGGGGAGGGTGTCTGCCTAGCATGCGACTGACTAGAGTTCAATCCCAGCATCTCATATAGTCCCCCAAGCACCTTCAGGAGTTATCCCTGAGTGCAGAGCCCACAATAACCCCTAGTGCCGCTGCTGTGGTCCCAAAACCAAAAATGGGGGGAAAGGAAAAAAGAAACTCAGAACCTCAAACTTGCAATCATGTGCTTGGCCACCGAAGCACATCTTTGCTACCTTTAAATGTGACCCTTGGGGGGATGGAGCGATAGTACACTGGGTAGGGCATTTGCCTTGCACGCAGTCAACCTGGGTTCGATTCCCAGCATCCCATATGGTCCCCTGAGCACCACGGGGAGTAATTCCTGAAAGCCAGGAGTAACCTATGTGTATCGCCGGGTGTGATCCAAAAAGCCAAAAAAAGTGATTCTGGTACATTTTAAAGTTCATAGTATCTTTTGCCATGCTCTACCGGTGGCACCTCTAAACCAGGCTCTCCGAACCCTTGCAAGGAAGGGCATTGGGGGTGCATGTCCACGCCGCAGGGTGTTGAGCAGCATTCCCAGGCTCGACCACTAGATGGCAGTAGCACTCCCCACCCCAGCGAGGAAGACTGAGAAAGTCTCATAGTCCCAACGTCTGATGGGTGCGGGGACGGCCACCAGCGAGGCTCAGCCCCGGGCGTGCTGACAGCGCTGCAAGCCTGGAACTCAGCATTGTGGAGGCGGAAACTCACTGGACCGCCTGGAGGTGGCCTGAAACTTTCTTCGTTTATGTTTCAAAGAAAGCTCAGGGGTCATAGAAAGGTAGGGCTGGGTTTTGAACCCGGGTCATCTGACTCTGCAGTATTTTCTTCTTCTTTTTCTTTTTACATTTTGCGTCACACCCAGCGATGCACAGGGGTCACTCCTGACTCTGCACTCAGAAATCACCCCTGGCAGTGCTAAGCGGACAATATGGGATGCTGGGATTCGAACCCAGGTCGGCCGCGTGCAAGGCAAATACCCTACCCGCTATGCTACAGCTCCAGCCCCTGCAGTATTTTATTTGTTTTTTTTTCCCCTGTTTTTGGGCACACCCCGTAATGCTCAAGAGATGCTCCCAGTTCCATGCTCGGCGGACCACCACGCATTCAAAGACTGTGCCCAGGCCTCTTCAACTTAATTGCCCAACTTAATCTCACACAGTGGGAACCAGAAAGGAAGGGTTCCACGCACAGGGTGCCAGGGCTGGACCGAGGGGCTAGGACAGTCGTATAAACATACCAATTACTCACCAATGTCATGCTCACATCCACCCCTGTTCATGCTCTGGTTTGAGGTTTTATTTTGTTTTAGGGGGTTGTACCACACCCAGCAGTGCTCAGGGCTGACTCCTGGCTCTGCACTCAGAGATCACTCCTATCAGGGTTCAGGGAACCATTTATGGTGCCAGAGATCGAACCCAAAACCTTGCATGCAAGGCAAGAGCCCTGCTCCCAGTCCTGTCCCTCAGGCTTAGAAACTGTATTTCTTGTTTGTTTGTTTGTTTGGTTCGTTGGTTTTGGGCCACACCTGGTGATGCTCAGGGGTTACTTCTGGCTCTGCGCTTAGGAATCACTCCTAACAGTGCCCAGGGGACCCTATGAGATGCTGGGGATTGAACCCGGTCTGGACATGTGCCAGGCAAACGCCCTCCCTGCTATGCTATGGCTTGGCCCCCAGGAACTGCATTTCTTTCCGGCTTTTGAACTATCTCCCATCATACTGTCTCACGGGGACATGATATGTTTCACATTACACTTCCCCTTCATCCCAGGCAACTGGTCCCCCTCACCTCACCTCTTCTCCAGCTTCTATCCCCAGGTGCACAACTGATCAGGGATCTCCAAGCACCTCCTAGTGAGGGACGACTCCACTGAAGATGCTCGTATGGGCACCTCCTACAGAACAGGCTCAGGGAGGGTTACCCTATGCCTGACGTCACACAGCCAGCTTGTGGAGCCACTTTCCAGCCTTCTCCGCCTAATCTGTCCCCTGGGAGCCAAAGTTAGGCCCCTTCAATTCCTGGGTGTGAGTACAGATGTCACTGGGGGCCGCAGCCTGGGCTTCAATAATCCACCCACCCACTCTCTTCTCCATCAGCTTCTGCTCTTGGGCTCCAGCTTCCCTCCAAAATCACAAAAGTTTGGAGCAGGAATGACAGACAGGACAGTGGGGAGGGTATTTGCCTGCACGTGGCTGACCTGGGTACCATCCCCAACATCCCATATGGTCCCCACCAAGCACCGCCAGGACTAATTCCTGAATGCAGAGACAGGAGTAACCCCTGGGCATTACCAGGCGTGACTCCCCACACACACCAGAAATCACCCCAAATTGCAAGTGTTTGTCTCACTCCTGTGTAGACTCTAGACTGAGAGCTCTGCCCTCTCCCCCACTGCCTGGGCCCTGCAGGGTACAGGCCTCACCACATGGGGGCACAAACACAAACATGGGTGGGGAGTGGGGTCCGGATACAGGGAGCTGGGAGATGAGGATGAAAGAGGCAGAGTCATCAAAACTCACTCATTCCAGTCAGGCAGGATCCACGGAGAAATGCCTTGTTCCCTTCTAGGGCACCCGGAGCTGTCACCTCATCTAGGGGCAGGGTGAGGGAGAGGGGGGCTCCAGGGGCACGGACCCAGTCTTCACTCACTCACTGGGTGGTGTTTCAGGGTCTCAGGACAGACCAAACTCGCAGACATGAGGACTCACAGCCTGGATGGAGCCCCGACTTTCCCCCCAAAGCCAAGACTGTGCGTGGCGGGGTACTTAAGAGTCTGGGCTGAGAGTGGGGAGTGGGCAGGGGACACCCCAGCTGGGCTAGTGCCAGTAGAGATGCACACAGCAGTCCGCCCATTGGCTTGCCCCTGCACAGCACATGTTCTCAACCCATTTCACAGATGCCAAAGAAGAGATGAGGCGAGATCCTATCTGCCCGTCTGACCTGTCTAACACTGGTGGTCAGGGACTCAGCTGCCCAGGGCACCCTGTAGGGTCAGGAATTCAACTCGCGTTGTCCAAGCCTTCGCCTGTCCTGTCTCTCTGCCTTCTTGGGTTGTCTTTCATTGGAATCCTTGCCGCCCCAGTGAACAGGAGGGGCCTGTCTCCTGAGGGTCCTGAGCCAGACCCAGATGGCAGTGACTGACAAGGGCTGGGTTTATTCTGGCAAGGCCCTCTGCTCCCTTTATTCATTTATTTATTTATTTGATTTGATTTTTTGCCTTTTGGGTCACACCCGGCGAAGCACAGGGGTTCTCCTAGCTCTGCACTCAGGAATTACTCCTGGCGGTGCTTGGGGGACCATATGGGATGCTGGGAATCGAACCCGGGTTGGCTGCATGCAAGGCAAACACCCAACCTGCTGTGATCCAGCCCCCCTCTGCTCTCTTTACCTGCTCACAGCCCTACCCCTCCAGGGAGGAGAGAGGAGGCCTCTGGGAGGGAAAGGGCTCACTGGGGTGCACTGCTCTGCTGGGGTCTTCTTCCCTTGCATGGCACACAGTTGCAGGGGCAGGAAGGGACATGATGGGTGTCGCTGCCATATTGGTTCCGTTTGACACCCCAATGGCACCCAGAGGCTGCCTCTGCTGCAAGGTGCCGGGCTCTGAGCCACAGCCTGGCACTGCGTGCTTTGAGGAGGCAGATGTGCCTAGAAGCATCTTGGAGATGGGGAACGGAGGCTGAGGGGCTAGTTCTGGGCCTCCTTCGATGGGAAAACCAGCAGAAGACTCAGGACCTGGGGCCAGGGGGCACAGGAGTGGGCTCTCTGCCTGAAAGACCAGCTCTCCTCATCCCACCTTCTCCAGCCTCTGTTCTGCCCCCGTACACTCAGAACTCCCAAAGTGGGGACCCCCCCAGCCCCAAACTGCTAAATCTTTTTTTTTTTGCTTTTTAGGTCACACTTGGCGAAGCACAGGGGTTACTCCTGGCTCTGCACTCAGGAATTATTGCTGGTGATGCTCGGGGGACCGTATGGAATGCTGGGAATCGAACCCGGGTTGGCCGCGTGCAAGGCAAACACCCTACCCGCTGTGCTATTGCTCAAGCCCTCAAACTACTAAATCTTGCATCCCACTCTTGTGCCCCTGGGGGAGCTGGCCTGGCTTTGCCCCTGCCCCCTGCTTTGACCCCGTGGGTACCTATGCCAGTGGGAATCCTGCTGTCGCTAAATGGGGGTATATGGAAGTGATGGTGCACGGAACTCGCTTCACTCACCCCCGCCCACCAGGAATCTGTGTGCAGGGCTCACCCTGTAGTGCCCACAGGCAGCAGAGGGGGTGGGGGCCCTTTGGGGACCTGACTTCCCGGACACTGGGCATGTCCCCAGACAGAGGGAGTGTTCTGGTCACCTTCTAACTGTCCCATCACCCAGCTGAGGCCCAAATGAATAAGTGAATGAGTGGAAGAATGAATAAATGAATGGACAGATGGATGACCAAGTGAAAAAAATGAGTGAGTCAGTGAGTGGAAGAATGGATGGAGGGATGAATGATCGGCCAAGGAACGAATGACCCAGGAAATGTGTGACTCAATAAAGGGAGGAATGACCAGTCACTGGATTAATGAACGAGTGACCGAGGGAGAGAATGATGAATGAGTGACAGAGGACATGTGTGGCGGGATGACAGAATGGCAAGAGCTGCAGGTAGGGGATCGGAAGAGGAAGGTGGGCTCAGGGCCCCCCACCTTGTTGTAGAGGGCACAGATGTGCAGGGCTGTGTTCCCCGAGGCATTCTGCGCCCCAGGCTCGGCCCCGTAGAAGAGCAGATGTTCCAGATGCTGTGAATGGCCCCGCTGGCAGGCCTGGGGGGACAGGGCAGGGACAGCCATCAGACCCCCCCAGCTGGCATGCCTGGGGGGACAGGGCAGGGACAGCTATCAGACCCCCCCCAGCTGGCAGGCCTGGGGGGACAGGGCAGGGACAGCCATCAGACCCCCCCCAGCCAGCAATGTCAGGTCACCTGCCCTGCTCAATAGCTCCCAAGTGGTCAGCCCTGCCCATCCCCGAGGCCCCCTAGGATCCGTCATCCCCATCTTCTCTTTGGGGTCCCTGGAGTTGCGTGGTACCTGGTGAATCTCCTGCCAGCCATTCTCATCAGACACCCCCAGCTGGGCTCTGTTGTACAGGAGCAGCTCACAGCAGCGGGGGTCGCCCCCCACCATGGCTGTATGGAACAGAGGGGTCAGTCCCCGGCGGTCCTTATAGTTGGGGGACCCCCCAAGATCCAGGAGTGCCTAGGAAGGAAGAGAGGACAGTCAGGGAGCACCAGGCTCCTTCTGAAGGCTGGTGAGCTGGGCCGTCACGGTACCTCGCATCTGCCCCGATGTCCTTGTGTGACCTTGAGCTGGCCAAGGCGGGGCTTGAGGCCTTTCTGGACGGTCCCTTGTGAGCAGGGAGGGGAGCAGGTGCGTGCTCTGGGGGCCCCCACTCTGACATCCTGTCAGGCTGCCCCCTTGGGCCACTGTGGAGGCGCCCATGAAGAAATGTAGCAGCCAAGTCAGAGGAGGTGGGCTGCAGATGGGGGAAGCAGGTGCCAGCATGGGGGGCAGGGAGAACCTCACAGGGGTGCGGCTCAGACCAATAGAACCGTTTGTCAGGGAGAGCAAACAGTCCATGGGGCCACTGAGCATATTAGCCACGGGCACGGCGGCAAGATGGGTGATCCAAGGAGCCCCCTTTCCTCAGGATCCCCTTTCTGATATCACTGAGCCTCCACCTGAACAGCTCAGGGCTGGTGGAGGGGATGTGGTAACATCAGTCTGCAGGTGTGGGTAGACTCTGTATCTGGGGGGCAGAAGTGATAGCACAGCAAGGAGGGCATTTGCCTTGCATGCGGCCGTCCCAGGTTCAATCCCGGCATCCCATATGGTCCCCTCAGCACCTTCAGGAGTGATTCCTGAGTGCAGAGCCAGGGGTAACCCCTGGCCTAAACACCAAAAAAAAAAATGAAGTTAAATTTAATAAATAAAATAAAAGAGGGGTTGACAATTCCAGGGGAAGCAGGTAGACCCCGCCTGGGCCTTTGGCCTCTGGCAAAGAGTTGTAGATGAGAAGGGCAGGCTAGAAGTGGGAGAGTCTTTGGACTGGGGTTCTCCATAGCCACAGATCTTTGGGGACAGTTATCCTGACCTGTGTATAGACAGCAATCAAGAACAGAATCTCTGAGACTGAGACTGTGAAGGGCTGGGGAGACAGTCCTAACCATTGCTCTGCATATGACTGACCCCAACTTGATCCCTGGCAGCCCGTAGAGTTTCCCTAGCACTGCTGCCAGGACTGATCCTGAGCATAAAGCCAGGAGTAAAGCCCTGAGCACCATTAAGAATGGTGCAAAAGGGGCCAGAGAGATCGTACAGTGGGTAGGGCATTTTGCTTGCACACGGCCAACCCGGGTTTGATTCCCAGCATCCCATATGGTCCCCTGAGCACCGCCAGGAATGGTTCCTGAGTGCAAAGCCAGGAGTAATCCCTGTGCATTGCCAGGTGTGACCCCACCCCCCCAAAAAAGAACTGGGGTTTGAGGAAGAGCAGGTGGGAATGGAAGAGGCATTTGAGTAGGAGAAAGGGCCACTCTGCATGCACGGAGGGAGACAGGGGATGTCTAGGAAGGGGGGCACTCAGGGAGAAGAGAAGGAGGTGCTGAAGAGATGGGAGCATGGGGCTTGCACTGATTGGTCTTATCCCGCACAGAGGCCCCTAGGTATCGTCAGGTGTGAGGCCTAAGCACAGGTACAGCCCAAAGTTCCCAGGAAAAGAGAGGGAGACAGGGCGTGGCACCTCACCGTGAGAGCTAGGCAGTGGCGGGCACACGCTGCCTTATGCAGAGCCGTCATGCCATCCCGGGCGCGGAAGTCGATGTGGGCCCCACCCAGGCACAGGGTTCGAATCACCTCCACGGAGCCCTCGGTCTGCGCAGCCAGGGTCAGGGGGGTCTCTGTGGGGGGCGCAGGAGTCAGTCACACACGGCCTCTGGGCCACCGCTTTTAGCACCCTCCAAAGTCGCCTCCCACCTCCTGAATCCGAGTCGTGATAGTTGGGGTCCAGCCCCTTGTCCAGCAGCCGTGCCACCTTGTCAGACGTGCCGAGTTGCACATACTCCAGGAACTTCTTCAAGCCGGTCTGTGCCAGGGGCCAGAGAAAGAAACGGGGTTAGGGCAGTAGGTGGGGGGGGGGAACGGCATCTCCCTCCCGCCTGCCTCCCTCTTAGGGGGGGCAACTCAAAGAGGACTGAACAGAGGTCACCTGAACGCCAGAGCTCTCCACCACACCACCCCCAGCCCACAGACCTGGGTGCACTTTTGTTTTTTTTTTGAGGCCACACCCCGTGGTTCTCAGGACTGATTCCTGGAGGGGCTTGGGGAACACACTCTGGGGTGTCCTGTGATCACACCGGGTACACCGTGCAAGGCAAGCACCTTCCCCACACTCCGGTCTCCCCAGCCCACCAGGAAACGTTCGTTGCCAAGACCATGTCCTTTTGGAGGGGGAGGGTCAGGGGCGAGAGCGCTTGACGCCCACATTTGTTGGCACTCAGCACTAGACACATCACCAGCTCCCAGGGGTCGGACGCCTAAGTAAGGGGCGTGCCTGGAGGGATGGGATATGGGGGGCAGGAGAGAGAACGGGGGGATGAAGCCAAACAGGGGGTCTCCCCTCAAGTGTCAGGAAGTTGTTCAGATTTCCTCTCTGGGAACACTCGTCCCAGGAGGAAAAGGTGGGAGCTGGGGAGAGCCCTTAATGCAATGTAGATCTAGGTGGCAGAACTGGGGGGGGGCAACTCAAAGTGACATCAGAGACCCAGGATGGGGGCGACAGGGCTCGGAGTGGAAGTGGTGAGCCCAGAGAAGAAGGAATTGAAGGAGCTGGAGTGAGGCTAGGGAGCAGAGGCAAGTCCACAGGGGAGCGTCAGATGGGGTTTGTTAAGGGGGGGTAGGGGGCCAACTAGGGGCCACACGTTCAGATTCTCTCACCTTGGTGTGTAACTTGGCCAGCTGCTTCTCATCCAGGTTGGTCTGTTTGTACACACGGGTCTTGTATCGGAACTGAGGCCAGGGTGGGGTGCAGAGAGACACGGGAACTTGCGTCAGGGTGGGGGTGGAGGTGTGGGCAGCCCGTAGGTGAGTCCCCTCTTGGCCCTCGGAACTCATGTGTGGCTCAGGCTTGGGCAGATGCAGCCCTGGAGGCCTGGCCACGTGGATAGAAGGGACTGGAGCTCCGGTGACACCGGACAGAGAATATTCTGGAACAGCACCCCTCACTGGGAACCAGTCCCCAATGTGACTATAGTGGAAGCTTAGGGTGAGGAAGAGGCTTGCCAGAGGGCTCACTGCCCTGCATTTTCGACGCTAAAACTTGGGCATCCCCCCCACCCCATCCCCCGCGACCTGCCGAGCCCCTTGGGGGTTTCTGGCATCAAAGAGGAGTAGGGAGGGCTGCCCTCTCTTCACAGCGGCAGGCCGCGGCCTCACCTCCAGGTAGGGCACCCCCTTCTCGAAGGACTGGGGGTATTCCCGCAGCAGCCGCTCCTCCTCCAGGAAGTTGGCATCGCGGCCCGAGGTGGCCGGCTGGAACAGGCCGTAATTGAGCACGTCCTGCAGGCTCTCGCTCAGCGCGCACAGCACCTGCTGCTTGGCGGTCCAGATGGTGGCGTCGGGGTTGAAGCGCAGGCATTTCTGCAGGGGGCGGGACAGGGCGGAGCCTGCGGCGGGGGCGGGGCGGGGCGGGGCGCGGGGCGCGGGGCGCGGGGCGCGGGCCGGACTCCTCACTCCGGCCGGGGCACCGCCCGCCCCCCCGCGCGCTCCCCCGGCCCGGCACCGCCCGACGCCCCGCGCGCTCCCCCGGCCGGGCACCGCCGGGTCCCAGCGCTCGCCCCGACTCGGTTCACTCACTGTCTGGTGCAGGTCCGGGATGCCGATCCTGAAGACCATCATGCTGAAGTGGGCGTCGTCCGGGACAGACATGGACCGGCCTTGGAGGCCTCGGATGGAGGCCAGGCTAGTGGGTGCTCCGCTGTGGCCCCGGGCCCGGGTCCCCCGGGGGCCTCTCCCTGGCCCGTCTGGGGAGCTCTCCGATTCGGAGCCCCCCTCGGGACACTCGCTGATGCTGTGTGGGTCCTCGTCCTCGCTTGAGGCGGGGCTGTGGGTCATCGTGGGGCCACGGGGCGACGGGGGTCGGCAGCATCACAGGTGGCTGGAGGGGAGGGTAACAGCGCAGTCACCCTCAGAGCCGGGGGGACCCCAGGCCAGGGGACCCTCTTGGCGTGCCCCGCCACTGTCAGGGCAGGAAGGAGACTACAACCCTGTGCACCCCTGTTCCAGCCACGCTTCCCACCGGCCACCTTGCCTGCCCTTGGCCCTGTGCACAGCCCCCCGCCCGTCCTGCGCCCCACTTTGCAGCTGACCCAGCGTGGTGGTGTCCCAGAAATCGCAGAATCACCGCGGGAGCTACTGGCCCACTTTGTCACAGAAAAGGTGCTAAAATTAGCCCAGGACAGACAGGTAGACGGAGGCACCCTTGCCCTCCTGGCCCCCACCTGGCCCCTGGCCCTGGGCCCCTCTCCATTCCCCTCCCAGGACAGGGGTGGGGGTGCTGAGCTGGAGTAAAGGGGGACCGGAAGTGCCTGGAGCGTGGGGCGTGGGGAGCCAGAGCCCACGTGGGACGCTGACAAGTGCTGCAAGAGCAGGGACCCCAGCGCGGAAATGGGGGCTTTGGGACACAGCCTGCAAGAGGGTCCCCTGAGGATGCAAGAGAGGGCTTCATCGGGGCAAGCAGAGGGGGTGGGGCTGGGCGCGAGCACTGTCAGGGTGCCAGCGGTGACCTGTGGGTGCAGTCGGAGGACTGGCACAGTGGGTTGGTGGGTGGGCACTGCCGGCTGCTCCTAGGCTCCAGCCGGGAGCCTGGGGTGCAGGGACGGAGGCCAAAAGTGGCATGAGGGTCCTGGAAACCAGAATAGGTTTCCATTGGGTCACCCCTGGACACCCCCTTTCCTCAGGGCTTGCGACGTGGCCTTATAAGGGTGGTCCAGAATGGGGTCCGCCTCCCTCCTCTCTCCCCACCGCCACCCCAGCACCGGAAACCAGAATGTCTGCTCGGTCCCTCCCTCCCCCCCACACCAGGCCCGGCTCCGGCACCGTTGCCATGGAGATGCGAAGCAGTGGAGGGTACCGCTGACTTTGGGGGAGCGGGGATGGGCTGGGGGCTGGGGGAGGGAAGGCAAAACGTGTGTGTCGGGTAGTGGGGGGCATAGTTCCAAAGGCTGTAAGCTGTAGGCTCCCCCACCCTGCGTGGCCGCGGCTCCCAGCGCCCCCCCCCCTTTTCCCAGGTACCCCGCTGCGCCGCCCCTTCGGCTGCTGCCCGGACCCTGGCTCCACTCCCGCCGCCCCCCGCCGACAGACACTCCCCCTCGGCTGACCCCGGCTGACCCCCAGCCTGCAGCGGGCATCGGGGGGGTGGGCAGGGGCGCGCGCACGAGCCCGCCGGCGCCCCCCACCCCCGTCCCGGCCCCTCCCCCAGCCCCGAGGGAGGGAGCGGGCACACTCCGCCGGGGCGGCATGAATCAAGCGCTCGGCGGCTAAGAATAGCTGGCACGCAGCTGGTACCGAGACGGGCTGAGGAATCGGCGAGGGGGGAGAAGGGAGCGAGGGGGTGCCCTGGGCGGCGGCGGGGGGCCGGAGAGCCGGGTCGCGAGGATGAATGGAGGCGGGAGGGGGGGAGCCCCGCCGGAGCCGGGAACCGGGTGGGGGAGCCCGGCCGGAGAGAGGGGGCGGGAGCGCCCCGAGAGCGGACTCGGGGGCGGGAGCCGAGGGGGCGCGCCGGCCGGTGCGGAGGGAGCGGGGCCCGGGCGGGGACGCGGGGCGCTCTCCAGGCAGGGACGGACCGACGGGTACGGGCAGCGGGACGCAGACCCGGGTCGGCTGGCGGTGGCAGCGTGGTGACCTGGGGGAGGGGCGGGCGCTGGGCCCAGGTGGACCGCGGTGGGCGAGGCGGGGGAGTGGCCGGGCCGGACCGCCGGGGAGGCGGGGACCGCCGTGGAGTCCGGGGGCCGGGCACCGGCTGGGGGCTGTGCCAGCGCGCACGGTGGGTGCAGCGCGGCCCCGGAGCATGCGGAGGGAGGTGGTCAAGGCGGAACCGAGCTCGGCATCGCCAGGGGCGACCCCCCAGCCCCCCACCCCCACTCCGCACCGCACACCCGCGCCCCGGGCCCGGCGCGCAGCCAAGGACGTCTGGGGCGCCCCCGCCCCCTCCCGCCGTCCGGCCCCTCCGCCCCCTTACCTGCCTGGCGGGGCTGCAGCGTCCGGGTCGGCGGCGCCCGCGGCCCCTCCCCCCTCCCCCCACCCCCCCACCCCCCCGGACTCGGGGGACCTCAGGCCATGCCCCACCGCCCCGGAGGGCGAGCGGGCCCGGGGAGGGGGCGGGCGGAGGCCGGGGGGCGGGCGGGGGGCCCGCGGACCTCACCCCCCCCCGCGAGCCGGGCCTGCCCATCCGCAGAGCGCCCCCCCTGCCGCCGCCGCCGCGCCCCTCCTGGCTCGCCCGCCCCCGGCCCGGTCCGGCCGGCTCCGGGCGCCGCGGCTCGGCCCGCGCCGCCGCCGCCTGGTGCCCAGGCCGCCGCCGCCCGCTCGCGCCGGCTCAGCCTCCCTGCTCGCTGCCCGGCGCTCGCCGTCTCTCCCTCACCCTCGCCGCGCCTCGCCCGCCCGCTCTCCCTCCGCCCTCTCCCCTCCCTCCGGGAGCCGGCAGAGGAGACATCGCCCCTCCCCGCGCCCCCAAACCTCGCCCATCCCCCCCGCCGGCTCCGCCCCCTCTCCGGCCCTCCGCCACCCGAGCCCCAAGCCTGGACTCCACCCCTGCCTGTCCCCCTACCCCAAGGATGGGGCCCCGCCCCCCAGGGTCCTCTTTACCCCCACGCACACACCGCTCCGCGGGCTCTGCGCACAGTAGGACCAACTGCGCGCCAGAGACTCCGCAGACACACAGCCCTGTTCTCGGAGCACAGGTGCAGCCCGTCACCCCCCGGGGGGCACAAGCGCCTCCAAACCCACATCCCTGAGCCTCCCGGTGGCCGTGCCCCTGCTCAGCCCCAGAGGTGTGTGTGTGGGGTGGGGGCAGTTCCGCCGGACTCCAGCTCTGGCTGCTCCCTCCACTAGACCCCTGGCTGGCGGATCCCGATACTTATGGTGGTGGTGGTGGGCGGGGGTCCTCTAGCTCTGCAAGAACCGATCAACTCCTCTCCTCACCGCTGTGCACTGGAGATCTTGCCCCCAACCCCGTTTTGCACGGAGAGGGACGGTCAGGTGCCCCCTGATACAAAGCTCTGGGGGGTGAGTGCGCCAAGGATCAGGACCAGGTCCCCGCTGGGGCAGGCACCCCATGGACCTTGGTCACTGTTGGGTATACAGGTGCACCCAGCTCTTTCTCAGTGCTCATCACCTGGGGCCAGAACACCCCACAGAGACAGAGACGGGCCCCAACACCCCCTAGCCTGCTCTCTGACCATTCTACCAGCTGCCCCTACATCCCAGGGCTACCTGCCAGTTCGGGCACCCACAAAGACACAGGGCAGCCCTGGGCAGCCCCTGGGAAGGGGCTCCAGCCGAGGGCTTGCTCCCCCTCAGGGTACCCTCTCTTCTGAGTTGAAGCAGGTGCACTTCACCTCGGGAGGTCCCCACTGGATGCTCTTGCCCAGCAGCGGGACATGCTGTGTACCCCACATTCCCATTTACAGGGTCATCCCTGGAGCCTCTGGGGAGTGCCCCCCCCATTGGAATGGGCACCCAGGAGGCCTGAACTTGGGTAAGGGTGAGCGGGCCTGGCGAAGGGCGCTTTCCCCAAGGTCATACCACCCTTGCCCTTGCTGGCCACCATGGAAAACAGGATTGCTGGTTTCTAAGGGCCTGCTGGGGTAGCCTGCAGCCCAGAGCCAGAGCCTGGAGCCAGCAGCTTTGGCCAGGCCGCCCCACACTGGCCCCTCCTGGAGCCTCGGTTCCTCCCTGAAGAGTGGGCCCGGTGATCCCTGGCGCCAGAGCCCATGCTGCTCGCTGGCATCACCAGCCTGGCTGAGAGCAGCCGGGGAAGCCCAGGCTGATTCATGGGCCTGGCAGACAGTGGCCATGGCTACCTTTGCCCTATTGCTTCTCCCCTACTGCCCCCGCCCCCAGCAACTCTGCAGCACTGTCCCCTTACCACTTCATCCTCAGCGTGGGGACTGGGGCGGGGTTGGCTAAGCTGAGATCCCCACAGGATCTCTCTGCACACCCCACAATTAGTGGATTAGTGGGCCAACATGATGGGTAAAGCAGGGACAGGAGCCAGCCCAGGGGGAAAAAGGCAGGGGAGTGGGGTGGGGGAAAAGGAACTTGGGGATGCCAGCTGTGAGCTGGGACCAAAAGTCCAGCTGAGCTGGACAAAGCAAAGCCCTTCCAGGAGGTGGAAAGAATGAAAAGGCCTGAACTTTGCCTCCAGCAATAGCGAAAAGGCCAATGTGGGCACCAACTCCTGGTGAGGAGAGTGGGGGTCACCAGTTGGCAGCAGGCCAAGGATACCCCCCTCGTTCTGCTCCTCCTAGTCCCTCTGGGCAGGCCGCAGGGAGCTGGGCACGGGGCCTGGCTGCCCTCCTGTCCTGCTTCCACCAGAGCAAAGAGCCAGGGTGAGTGCCGAGTGACAAGGTCTGATTTACGGTTTTGGAAGCGTGGCGCTGTGGCTGCGGCAAGGCACAGGGATTGGAGGGGCTGAGGAAGGAGAGGCAGCAGGGATGAGGCTGCTGCAGTGGTCCAGGCAGGAGATGGGCACCTTATTCAAAGGTTCACACACACACACACACACACACACACACACACACACACACACTCACTCACTCACTTACTGCCCCCTCCTTTCTAGTCACAGCCTGAATCCCTAATATGGCCTCGCCCAGGGTCAGGCCTTGGAGAAGCTTCCGGTCAAGTACATACTCAAATCCTGTAGCCCTGCTCTCCAGGCCTCCCCCAGGGCGCAAGCAGTTTGAAGGGGCTAGGCATGGAAATGGGGTGTGGGTAGGAGGCGTCCTCTTGTCTGAGAATGGGGCCGCCTCCTCCTGGAGGGCGGGTGAACGATGCCAGTCACAGGGTAATGACAACCTTAGCAAGACCCCTAAGTGTGCCCCTCCGGAGGGATAGCTACAGGAGAAAGAAGTGTGGGGGGGCATATACCAACACCCCCCCCAACAGGGGCCCTGGACAGAGACCCCAGGGACTCCCTGGGGAGTCCACTCAATCCTGTTCATGATGGTGGGTGCTTTGGGCCACTGGTGCAAGCAAATGCCAGACAGACAAACTTGAGCTCTGGAAAGTGGGAAGAGGAGGGGGTGTGGGGGGATGCAAGGCGGGATCCAGGCGCTGGAGGTTTCCGGCCACAGAGGCAGGGCCTGGGGAAAGCCAAGAGGGGCGGGAAGAGACGCAGCAGAGACCAACCCAGGGACAGACAGAGGGGCAGTCAGGGAGCAGGGAGGATCCAGAGACAAGCGGGGAACTGGGATCAGCCAGATCACCAGGCCCTGGAAACGCCTCCCAACCCATAAACATCTCCTTCTGCAGCCCTGGGTTCTGCGACTCGGAGCCAGATGAACACAGCCTGGTTCCTCGCGACCCTGGTGTTCCCCCAGCTCTTGGGCTTCAGCTGCGTTGTCTGGGGAGTCCAGAGGGAGTGGGAGGGGGCCTGGGGTGGCGCCCAGGAGGAGGAACAGGAGAGGGAAGCCCTGATGCTGAAGGTAAGTTGGGGCTGGGGCCCCATATGGGAGGTGGGGAGAGTGGGCCATGGAGGGGGTGATCTGGGACCAGGGATACCACAAGGATGAGTGAGGGGACAGCTCAAAAAGCCAGCTGGCAGTCCCGGAGAGAGGGTCAGAGGTCTACAGCATCAGAAGGGGGTTCACAGCTTAGCCCTAAGCACCCCATCCCCCCAGCATTTACAGGAGGCCCTTGGGCTGACCATTGGGAAGGAGGGCGAAAATCCCGCGGGAACCTCAGAAAGCAAAACGGCCTGGGAGGACCAGGATGGCCAAGGAGAGCCTGAGGAGGATGCAGCTCCAACCTCTTCTTCCAGCCCCAGTCCCTCTCCCACCCCCGAGGACGCCATCACTTATATCCGTGAGTAATCCAGCCGCCGCCTCTCTCCAGGAGGCCCCCGCAGGCATTTCCGAAAAAGGAACAGTCATTTCACTGTCCAGGGCCCAGGCCCTCGGTCTTGCCACCTTCCTACTTTCCAGGAGTCGGGATCCAGCCCCCGCTCCAGGAGGCCCCCTGGTTCTCCCGTCCCCCGGCCCTGCCCCCTCAGGGTCTCTGTCTGCCCACAGTGGGGCGCCTGGCCGGCCTGGACACAGGCCTGCACCAGCTGCACGTCCGTCTGCACACGTTAGACACTCGCGTGGTCGAGCTGACCCGGGGGCTGCGGCAGTTGCGGGAGGCGGCGGGCGACATCCGCGACGCAGTACAAGGCCTGCAGGAGGCGCAGAGCCGCGCCGAGCGCGAGCACGGCCGCCTGGAGGGTGAGTCGGTAGCCCGCAGGGCGGGGACCGGGCGGCGGCCCGCTACTCCCGACTGCAGGGAAAGTGGGGGCCAGGGAGGAATCGAAGGGGAGGCGTAGACCTTGGGCGTGCGAGGGAAGAGCCTCGGGGAAATCTGGGGTGTACAGGAAGATGGGGAGGCGGGAGGGGAACTGCGGGAAGCAGACGGCGGCCGTAGGAAGCTCGTTTGCCACCCGGCTGTCGGGGGGGACCCCACGCGGGCTGCGGCACGCCCCTACCATCTGACCACGCCTCCGGCGTCCCTGGCTCCGCCTCCTGGCTCCGGGCGGTTCTCATCCCGCCCCTTCGCAGCCCCGCCTCTCCCGCCCACGTGGCCTTGGCCACGCCCCAAGCCCCGGCCCGCCTCCTCGACGGCCTCGCCCTCCTCCCCGGCCCCGCCCTCTCTGACCCCGCCTCTGCCCCACCCACAGGCTGCCTGAAGGGACTGCGCCTGGGTCACAAGTGCTTCTTGCTCTCGCGCGACTTCGAGGCGCAGGCGGAGGCGCAGGCGCGCTGCGTGGCGCGCGGCGGGAGTCTGGCGCAGCCCGCCGACCGCTCGCAGATGGAGGCGCTCGCCCGCTACCTGCGCGCGGCGCTCGCGCCCTACAACTGGCCGGTGTGGCTCGGCGTGCATGACCGGCGCGCCGAGGGCCTCTACCTCTTCGAGAACGGACAGCGTGTGTCCTTCTTCGCCTGGCATCGCGCGCAGCACCCCGAGGCCGGTGCCGAGCCCAGCGCCACGCAGCACCCGCTCAGCCCCAACCAGCCCAACGGCGGCGAGCTGGAGAACTGCGTGGCGCAGGCCTCGGACGACGGCTCGTGGTGGGACCACGACTGCGCTCGGCGCCTCTACTACGTCTGCGAGTTCCCCTTCTAGCCGCGCCCCCCGCACCCTGCCCTGTGCGGCCGGGGAACCCCCGCTTCCTTGCACCTAGCAAGGCTGACACCAATAAAAACCTTTGTGGAACCTGCCTGGAGCAGGAAGTGAGGACCCTTTGGGGCCTTTTGTCTGACCTGGTGGCAGGCCCCGAACGGCAAACCCTGATCGCTGAAGGTTTCTTTGAGCACAGAATTGAGAGAGAGACAAGTACTCATGTAAACACGACTGTCTGCTCAGCACAGTTGTGGGGGTCCACGGTGAGCAAGCTGCCCCCATTCCAGATCTGAAATCTGGTAGACGCGTGGCTACCACAAGGTCTGCAGGAAAGACTCAGGGAGATTTGGTCAGTGTCTAAGAATATTTTTTTTTCTTTTTGGGTCACACTCAGGGATGCTCAGGGGTTACTCCTGGCTTTGCACTCAGAAATCACTCCTGGCTGTGCTCGGGGGACCATATGGGATGCTGGGAATCGAACCCGGGTTGGCCGATTGCGAGGCAAATGCCCCACCCCTTGTGCTATTGCTCCAGCCCCTCTCAAGTGTATTTCACCAAATAGTACTGTTTCTGGTGGCACCCCCTGGTCACAGCGACCTCTTTCCCCACGAGGGACAGGGGCTGCTGGAGTACAAACTTGAGGACCTAGTCTAGAAACAGTTTCCCGGCCCTCCTCTTCCTTCTCCACTCTGAGCCTCAGTTTCCTGATTTGGGTCCTGACTTGGACATGGGCACAATCACCACCCCTAGGACGTCCAGCTCTTGGGATGCCCTCGTGGATCAGGAGAGAATTGGAAAATGGTCATACATCGACCACAGACTACCTAGCCATTCTTCCCATTGTTCACTTATGGGCTGGAACTTTATGGAGAGCACTCTTCGGCGAGAAGGGATCCTCAGGAATCACCTGGGAATGTCTCCCAAGCATCATGCTTTTGACCCTGATGTGGAGCCCAGGATTAGAAATGATTAGATGTGATCCTGTTTATCCTCCCATATTTTCCCACTTTGGGACCCGCTCCCCCCCCCTGGACAGTGGGAGGAGCGAATACCCCAGTTTTCCAGGAGTCATCTCAGCCTCAGAACCCCACAGGAAGAATAGACTTGGGATTCAGGTGAAATGAGCCCCTCCTCCTTACTTTAAAGGCTTCAAGTAGTTGACAGAGCTTGCTTAGAATTCTTCCTCAGGCTCTGCCTATTTCTGGGGTGGAACAAGATGCCTTATCCTCAGCTTTCCACTTTTTAATTTTGGGAGAGTCCATACCTAGCTGTTCCAGGCTCTGTGCTGGGAAGTGGCTCCTACCGTGTCCTGGTCAGAGGACCATGTGATGCTAAATCCCATGACCAGTTCATGAACTCTTTCTCTCTGCCATGGACCTACTGTTATGGCAGAGACCTGACACTGCTTAAATGGTGGGTTTCGAACATCACTGGATGTGGCAGTCATGAAAAACTCGGCAACAAGCAAGCCAAAGATGAAGTCAAGATCAACCAGATCATGCCAGAACATGAGTCTGAATTATGGTCAGCCAGATCATGTATTGGGAGTGTTTCTTGCAGGGGTCCTCCCTCAACACACCTGACATTCTGGAGATTTCTCAGGGGGATTTTTTTGTTTGTTTTTTGGGTCACACCTGGCGATGCACAGGGGTTACTACTGGCTCATGCACTCAGGAATTACTCCTGGCGGTGCTCAGGGGACTATATGGGATGCTGGGAATCGAACCCAGGTTGGTCGCGTGCAAGGCAAACACCCTACCCACTGTCCTATCACTCCAGCCCCATCTCAGGGGGATTTTTTAAGTGGTTACCTGCCTGGATTATGGGCCCAGATATTCCATGTCTTGACCCTACTTTACCTTTTGGGGAAATAAGAGTGAGATTCAGCACCCACCTGCCTGTCTGGGAGTGGCTGTCCCTGTCCCCAGGATCCCCTAGCACATGGGGAATCCTTCATATGAAGGAAGATGCCTTGTGGTGTGAGGCTGAATGAAACCATGAAAGGCTCCACTTTAAGATGGAAACTCAGTAGGCCTAAGTTTCAGTTTCCCCTATCAGAAAGTCCCGACTTCTCAGAGAATAATATCACCCTGGGCAGATATGGCAACATCCTATCAAAGTAGGAGGCATGGGCAGTGGCGTCCAGCCAAGCAGAGAGGGCCTAGAGAGCAGAGTCACAGTACTGGACAGGGACCAAGAATTGAAAACATAGTGTTGGCCCCTGAAGTCACGGACCAGACAGGGACCAAGAACTGGAAACATATTGCCAGTTCCTAGAAAAAAATACTGTTATGTAACCAAACCGTATATAAACTGCTCAGAATTCGGAGTTGGGGTCCTTGTCAAGACTCCCCTGTGTTGCATGAGACTTGTACCCTAGCTCGAGGAAGCAATAGAGGGGCCTTGCATTTGCAGCCTCGTGTCTGGTCTAGTCAATGTGTGAGTGAAACTCCCTTCCCAGAAGTCTGGGCCCTCTGGTTTCCCGAGTCAGACACCTCTTTTGGCCTCCTTTGGGCGGTCACTCTAAGCGGTATTGTCAGGCCAGTGTCTGGGCTACACTGCAGTTCTGGGCCGGCAGTGGGGAATGGAGGAAATTCGCAGGGGCTGTTTATGCACGATGTCAGTTCAGCACCAGCCCGCTGGGCTGAATCTGGAATAAGGTCTGTCCAGGGGAACCCTGATGCCTTCTCCAGGAAGCCCTCTCAGGCCTCCCAAAAGCCAAAATTTGCCAGTGCGCCCTCCTTACTCTCAGGGCAATGCTTGCCTTTTGAGAGATTGGAGCTGTGACCAGAGGAGGCCTCAGCAACTCGGAGTGATGCGGGATCCCTGAGATGGGATGGTCTGGAAAAGGCCTACAGTGACCCAGCAGAAGAGCGCATTCAAGGCTTGCATAAACTACAACTCCCAGGAGGCCAAGCGGCAAAACCCAACTACGCGAAACCACATTTCCCAGCAGCTACCGGAGGTTCCTAGGCCGGCCTCGGCGAACCCTGCCCACGCCCCTCCGTGAGCCTGCATTTCCCAGCAACCTCCAGCTCCACACCCTTCACGGTAACATCGAAGATCCGCATTCGCCAATGAGAGCACAGAGCTTTCACTCTGGCCCCGCGGTCTTATGGGAAATGTGGTCCCTTCTCGTGCCCAAAGCATAAATCTCATTTTAGTGTATCCTTAGACTGTAACTCACATTCAAATTTTTCCAGCGAGGCTTTCAAAGTACTGGTGGTGGGGTTGGAGATACTGGCACAGCGGGGAGGGCGCTTGCTTTACACGCGGCCGATCCGAGTTTCATCTCTGGTACCGCATGTGGTCCCCCAAGCCCTGCCATGAATGACCCCTGAGTACAGAGCCAGGAATGAGCCCTGAGCATCGCCGGGTGTGGACCCCAAACAAATAAACAGAACATTCCCGAGAGTACAGCCAGGAGTATGATTTCCATACAGGGGGTGCTATTTTTATTTTTGGGTTGCACCTGGCGGTGGTCAGGGTTGACTCCTGGCTTTGTGCTCAGGAATCACTCCTGGCAGGGCTGCGGGACTATACGGGGTGCAGGGGATTGAACTTGGGTTGGCTACAATCAGGGCAAACCCTCTACCTGCTGTACTATTTCTCCAGCCCCCCTCAATGACAATAATTTCTTCTTTTTCTTCTCTCTCTCTCTCTCTCTCTCTCTCTCTCTCTCTCTCTCTCTCTCTCTCTCTCTCCCCTCTTGTTCCCCCTTGGTGCCCCCTCTGCTTGCTACTCCCTCACTCTTCACCTCCTGCAGCAGTGGTCGATGTCAATTTTTTCAATAAAATAAATCCACAGAGACAATGATGATGCATACAAAATGATTGGAAATATTTCTCAAGAGGTTGGATATCTTGATTAAGTAAACTATCTAACCTGACTGCCCATTCACCCACCTGTCCCCACCCATTCTAACCTAGAGACAAACACCATTGAGTGGCATTTGCAATGAAGATGACATATTGGAAGAGGACATGTGGTTATCTGTAGGATAAAGGGAGGGATTTGGGTGGAATTTTAAGTGAAATAATGTTCTGAATGCTTCAGAGGAAAGCAGGGATGTCAAGTGAGTCAACATCTGCTCTGGGTTTTGAAGTGGACTTGGGTCCTGTTTCCTTGGCAACCACAGCTTGGGATTCACGGGGAACAGAGTGCCCAGAAACTGTCTTGAACATTCCTTCAGGGCTGGAAATTGAGGGTTTTGTCTGTGTCACAGTGACCAAGAGCCTTTAGCAAATGTAGGTTATTTCATTCTTTTTTCTTCTTTTTTGGGTCACACCAGTGATGCTCAGGGGTTACTCCTGGCTCTGCACTCAGGCATTACTCCTGAAACTGCTTGGGGGACTATATGGGATGCCAGGGATTGAACCCAGGCGGCTGCATACAAGGCAAACACCCTACCTGCTATACTATCATTCCAGCCCAGAATATTTCATTCTTTTTTTTTTCATTTTGGGTCACACCCAGAGATGCTCAGGGGTTACTCCTGGCTCATGCACTCAGGAATTACTCCTGGAGGTTCTCAGGGGACCATATGGGATGCTGGGAATTGAACCCGGGTCCACTGTGTGCAAGGCAAATGCCCTACCAGCTATGCTATCACTCTAGCCCCTTAAATTTACTTCTTAATAATATTTCTAGTAATTTTTTATGGACACAGTAAGGGATATATTAAGCTTAAAAGGCTGGCTCTTACTGGGGACATCTCGCTATATAGTCCAGTCCTCAAGCCAGGTTAGTCTTTCCTAACTCCAGTAGGGTTATTCAGTTACTTCTTTTTGGGTTATGAAAGAGCTTGTTCCATGACTATGCTCTTAGTTTATTATGCATTTTATGGTGCTTAGCGTGTCTCTTTTTGATGCCAGGGTAGCTTAAGGCTTGCCCTGAATCCATCCATGTCCCTTGCCGGAACCCTCCTTTTGGGTGTTAGGAACTAAGGGCAACTGAGGCTTAAGTTGAGTGAATATAATGGATGTCCAGGAGTAAAATATTATTCAG